AACTTGATGCTCTCCGCGAGCAGATCGGTGCTGACACTGACGGACTGCGTGAGCAGCTCGAAGCTGCCACTACCGAGCGCGACCTTGCTCGTGCTGATGCCGATGGGCTGCGTACTGAACTCGATACTCTCCGCGAACAGCTCGATGTACTTCGCGAGCAGCTCGATGCTGCCGCCACCAAGGGCGATGCTGCTCGTGCTGATGCCGATGGGCTGCGTACCGAACTCGATACTCTCCGCGAACAGCTCGATGTACTTCGCGAGCAGCTCGATGCTGCCGCCACCAAGCGCGATGCTGCTCGTGCTGATGCCGATGGGCTGCGTACCGAACTCGATACTCTCCGCGAACAGCTCGGTGCTGACACTGACGGACTGCGCGAGCAGCTCGAAGCTGCTGTCACCGAGCGCGATGCTGCTTGTGCTGATGCCGATGGGCTGAGGACTGAGATTGATGCACTTCGCGAGCAGCTTCAAGCTGCCACTACCGAGCGCGACCTTGCCCGTGCCGATGCCGATGGGCTGCGTACTGAACTCGATACTCTCCGCGAACAGCTCGATGCTGACACTGACGGACTGCGTGAGCAGCTCGAAGCTGCCACTACCGAGCGCGACCTTGCTCGTGCTGATGCCGATGGGCTGCGTACCGAACTTGATGCTCTCCGCGAGCAGATCGGTGCTGACACTGACGGACTGCGTGAGCAGCTCGAAGCTGCCACTACCGAGCGCGACCTTGCTCGTGCTGATGCCGATGGGCTGCGTACCGAACTCGATGCTCTCCGCGAGCAGATCGGTGCTGACACTGACGGACTGCGTGAGCAGCTCGAAGCTGCCACTACCGAGCGCGACCTTGCTCGTGCTGACGCCAACGCACTCCGCAACCAAGTTGAGACTACAACCTCTGAGCGTGACATTGCTCGCGCGGGCGCTGATGCCGTTCAAATCAGGCTCGAGGCTCTTGAAGCCGAGACTGCCGACACTTACGAGCAACTCGACTCGCTCCAAAGCCAGCTTGCTGCTGCCTCGGCTGAGCGTGACGCCGCCCGCACCGACGTACGCGACCTCCATTTGGAGCTCGATGCGTTCCGTGGCCAACTCGACGTGCTTCGCGACGAGCTGGTTGAGGACGCCGACGCCTTGCGCGATCAGCTTGCAGCTGCTTCTGTCGAGCGTGACGAGGCCGTCGCCGAACTCGCCGCGCTCCGCGCCGCGCTCGCAGATACCTCTGGGGTCGAGTCGACGCTCCGCCAGCTGCTTGACACCAAGGCCGAGCGTGATCTTGCTGTGGCCGATGCTGCGGCGCTCCGTGCTGCGCTTGATGCCCGGACCACGGAAGGTTCCACTGTCGAGACGACCGTCGAAAAACTTCTAGAAGCTCGTGCCGAGGCTGCATCGCTCCGCACTCGTGTTGCTGAGCTCGAGACGGAGCTTGCCGATTCTGTGGCGGCACTCACTGTCTGCAACTCGGAGCGCGTTCTCCTCCGCCAGGATGTCGACAAGCTTACCGCTGAGCACTCGTCGCTAACCAACGCCACGACCTCGCTCACCCGCGAGCTGCTCTCCCCGGAGCGCGTCTCGCGCGATGAGGTTGAACGTGCTGTTGCATCTGCCGAGGCCCGCGCCGCGGATCTTCAGAGCCGGCTCGACGCTCTTATTGATGCAAACATGGACCTTGAGTCGGAGCTTTCTGCCGCCAAAAAGGCTGCCGCTGCTGCTGCCAAGTCGCGCGACAAGCGTCTCTCCGAGCTGCAGACCGAGCTTGAGCGCGAGCGCGAGCGTGCTGCGCTCCTCACCTCGTCCAAGGAGCTTCTGACCAGCCAGCTGGCCGACGTACAGGAGACGCTAGCGACGTCTGAAGGCGCCAACGAGGATCTCAGCAGCGAGCTCGACAACCTGCGCGCCTCCTACAACGAGCTCCTGTCGCAGCGAAACGAGCTGCTTGACACCGTTCTTCCGTCGACGCTGCAGTCGTCGCACCTCATCTCCGACACCGAAGTCTTGTTCGAACAGATCGTAGAGCAGGAGCTGCGCAAGCGCATCGCCGACCTGGAGGAAGAGCTGTACGCGTCAGGGAAGGAGGATGTGGTCCATTGGGATGTGCTCGAGCGCGAGCGCATGCGCAACGAGTTGAGTCTGGCTCAGGCCGAGTCGCGCCAGCTCCAGGCCCAGCTCGATGCCCTCATCGAGATGCAGTCTGCCGTTCCAAGCCTGGCCGACGCACCGGACACTCCGCTCCGCCGCGAGCGGCCAGTGTCAGCGCCGAGCGCAACGCCTCAAACCGAGTCGAGCATTGACTCGCGAGCCCTGGTTGTGTACTCGACCGAGACGCCGTCGTCGATGTCGACCGTTCCGCACCGCAGGGTCTCATCGCTTGCATCTATGGGCTCGTATGCTTCACCGCCGCCGCGCACTGACATGTACATGCGCGGCCGCTACGCCTCACCGATGCCGCCATACCTTGCCACGCCGCCATTCTTTGCGTCGCCACCGCCAATTCCGTCGCGGGCAACCGTTGACGACGAATCGTCGCTCTCGACCTCACTCTCGACCTCGCTCTCGACTTCAGAGGAGCCGATCCGCCGCTCGGCCCGCAAGACCAGCGGATCGAAGCGCCGGTCGCGCCCGTCGACGCCACCCAAGGCCCGCTCCCGCTCGCGCGCCTCATCGACGTCAAAGTCAAAGTCGTCGTCGTCGTCCCGGACCAAGACCGGAAAGACCAAGACTGAGACCAAGTATATTGCCGTCCCGGTTGCCGTTCCGGTCCCGGTCTCCTCGCCTGTCCGCTACATCGTGCCATCAACGCGGTCTAACATCGGCCCCAACCTCTCGTCGCCGCTCCGTGGCCCGGGCCCACGCCACAGCTCACATCAGCACCGCGGCTGAGAAGTAGATTTTAAAGCTGAAGGAAAGCCGCTTGAGGGTGAAGCGAGTACATCGTCGGTGAGGAGTTACTCTTCGCCGTGCAGCGCCTCGTTAGCAGCAGCCATGGCTGACGACGTGGCCGCTTGGAACCGCTCCGGCTTGATGACTGCCGAGGTGGCGGCGAGGAACTTGGTGATAAACTCCTCGCGGTCGACTTGGCCGTCGCCGTCGATGTCCATCTCGGCAAGCAGGGCGTCTGCGGTCTCGTCGACGTTGGCTAGGATTTCGTCGAGGACGGAGACCACGCCTGCAGTCAAATCCTTCTTGATGGTCTTCATCACAGCCTTGAGCTCCTTGCGCATGTCATGCGCCATGCTTGGATCCTGGGCCTCGATCGCGCTCAGGCCCAGCTCCATCGAGACCCGCAGCGACTCCTCCATGACCTTGGGCAGGTGGATCTTGGAGGCGACGAGGTACTGGTGAACCAGCCTCCGGTTCTCCTCACGTGACAGTACGCCGTCGCCATTTTCATCAAACTCGTTCCACAGCTCCATTAGCACCGCCCGATTCATCTCCATGGCCTTCTCCTGCTGCTCGTGGCGCAGCTGCTCGACCGCCTCTGTATCGCCTTCCATCGCCGCCTCCATTACCCTATCCAGCTCGTGCGAGTGTGCCGACTGCCTGATGAGATCGATGGCATTTGCGAAGAGTTCTACGGCGATGGTCATGGTGAGTGCTTGGTGGTGGTGGTGGTGGTGGTGGTGGTGGTGGTGGCTGCTGGTGGCTGGTGGCTGATGAGATGTCATGCCCAGTGGCAGCAGTGAGCTAGCAAGGAGGCGACAGAGTCAGGCGTCAGGCACCCGCTCGCCCCTCACCCCCCCCCCCCCCCCCCCCTCCCCCTTCTCACTCGCACACACATACTGTCAAAGAGCTTTGAATGCTTGGACGATGAGCCACCCATGATCCCTTGTTGGTGAGTCCTGGGGAGGGAGTGGGGTGGTGGTGGTGGTGGTGGTGGTGGTGGTGGTGGAGTTCCACGGCGAGTGGAGTGAGCAAGTGTCAGACAGTTTGGAACGGACGGACCACCTCCGCCGTCACAGCCACCATGCCCCCATCGCCACGTCCACTACTTGCAGACTGCAGACGACACATATGGAAGTTTTCTATTTATGACATCGACATCGGCAAAAGTCGCGTGCTCGCGCCGTCACTGTTGCCATCGCTGCTGTTGCCCACAGGTGCGACTCGCCGCCGTTGGAGTCCGACCTGGAGAGCGGGGAGGATAAGGGAGATGGACGTGCCGAGGACGACAGAGAGCCAGACTGTAGGCTCGGTGGCGAGTCGGCCCATGGTGCCAAAAAACGCGAGCCGAGGAATGGACGAGTAGATCGAGACGAGGACGAAATAGGTGAGGAGCGTGGCGCCGAGGACACTGGCGTGGATGGCGTTGGGCGCGCGGAGGCCAATGCTGAGCATGGCAAGGGTGACAAGGACTAGGATCGAGTAGGTGACCATCGAGACGGCGTCAAACCCGACATGGCCAGCGCCGAGCAGCGCTACACCAAGCGCCACGCCGCCTTGTGCCACGCCGAGGCCCATCCACCGCGTGAGCGATGCCACCGAGCACGGAAGTCGGTGCTGGTAGAGGCCGGGATTTGCCATCGCAAGTGCAATCGGCACGTCGCGGTCGAGGGCATACGAAAGGATCGGCAGCCCGGTGATGGCCACGTTGTAGAGCGTGAGCGCAAAGGTGTTGAAGTACGAGATGCCCGAGTAGCCAGCAAGTCCATTGTAGAAGACCTGGACCGAGCAGAGGTAGATCGACTTGTAGAAGCAGTACTGAGCCACGTAGGCTGTCCGAGTGTAAGCATATCGCCCGTGGACAAGAAGCAGCCGTCCGAGGAACCGGAACTGCGCCACAGCGTAGTCGGCCGCTCGTGCGGCCTGCAGGCCCTCGCGTCCCGAGATGCCGACGCCGACCGCAGCAGCCTGGAGCATGGCCACATCGTTGCCGCCATCACCGATGGCCAGCGTCCGTGCTCCGCGCCCTAAAGCCTGCACCTCACGCACTAGCTCGGCCTTTTGGTCTGGCGACATGCGACAGCAGACCACGGCTGCCGCCGACAGCGCCAGCCGCACGAAGTACTCGCGCGCAGAGCTCAGTACAATCCGCAGCGACGCGCCGTCGATGACGAGCGATGTCTCCGGTCCCATGTTCCGCGACGCCTCGCCAAGAATGGCATGGACCTCGTTCGGCGCACGCGCAATGCTTGTGAGCGGCACTACCGCTGCCCCGTGGTTACCGACCAAGTTGCACGAGATCGCAATTTGCCGTGCTGTCGACTCCTTGTCGCCGGTCAGCATCCAGAACCGAATGCCGGCCTTTCGGAGCTGGGCAATAGTTTCGGGCACGCCCTCCTGGAGCTTGTCCTCCACCGCTGATGCGCCGAGGAGCGTCAGCCCGCGCTCAAGCGCAGCGTACGTAGCCGCCACTCGCTGCGCCCGGTGCCTCATCGAAGCTCGTGCCGCATCGAGGCCAGCCAGCCACTGCTCGGCCTCGACGCGCGGCACAACCCGATAGCCGTACACCAACGTCCGCAGACCGGCAGTGCCGAACCGCAGAAGTGAGCCTTCCAGTCGCTCGGCGGCAGAAGAGTCGGCGGCGCGAAGCCGCGGAAAGACGCTCGAGTCGGCACCCTTGACAAAGAGCACATACTCACCGAAAGCCGCGAGGCCGCCGGCAAGCGGCCCGCGCTCAGCTACCGATGGCTCAAAGCGGACTAGCACGCCCGACCGCTTGCGCTCTGATGAAAACGCGAGGTGAGCCACAACAGCAACAGGTTGGATGAGTGGCTCCGAGGTGCCGATGGCGGCCCGGGCATGGACATCCAGCAACCATCCACGAGCAGAGTCCGGCGGCGCAGACCGTCTCACGCACACGTACCCGAGGCCTGCAGCGCCGGCCACCAATGCCTCTTCGTCCGGCGACGCCGCCGACCACGAGAGCTGGCCTAAATCCCGTGAGTGCGCGTATGCGTCCGAGCCCAGTGGGACTGCATTATGGCAGACTGCCATGGCAGTCACGAGGCCAAGCGCTGCGTGAACTCCGTTGTCGAGGGCCGAGACCAGGGCCGGCTGCTCGTGGCTGGTGTGATAGACAAGGCCGTCCCAGGCGAGCGAGTCGAGCGCCATTTCGTTGTTGGTCAGCGTTCCAGTCTTGTCGGTGAGGACGTGGGTGATGACGCCGAGGTCTTCCGCGAGGCCAGTCGAGACTGCGGCGGCGGGCGTATCGGTCTCAGCGTGGTAGAGCGCAAGATCCCATCCAATGAGCGCGGCGTAAAAGGTCTTGAGCATCTCGAGTGTGATCTTGAGCGAGATAGGAATCATGTACGAGATGAGAAGCAGGAAGCGGAGCGGGAGGACCACCGATGCCCACGGCGAGAGCTGACTCCACTCGGACGCAGGGTAGGCCAGGTACAGCGCACGCGGCGCAAGCACGGCCTTGGTCGCGTTGCCGGCAAAGCCAAGGACGACCGCCGCTGCAAGCTGGATGCAAAAAATGGTCCGGGTGAAGCTGTTGATGGCATCGTCAAGGGCAGTCGTCTTGCCGCGCGGAGGCGACTTGTTGTTGGCCAGCTTGGTCTCGCACCCAGTGTAAACAACGACACCGACGGCAAACGCAACCTGCTTGAGCACCGATCCCTGCAAGAGAAGTGAGTCGGGAGTGAGTGGAATGAGTGCGGCGTCGGACGAGTCTCCGGCATCGGCGTCGTGCGGTGTGACGACGAGCTGGGCGTCAAAGGCGTAGAGGTGGGGGTCTGGAGCCGGCGCGGTGACGACAACGTCGTCCCACAGTCGCGGATCAGGCGAGTCGCCGCGCGAGGTGAGTCGAGCCGAGGTGGCGGGAGGCGCAGCGCGAGCCTTGAGGTCGGTCTCGCCGTCGAGGTTAGCAGTCTCGACAAAAGCGGCAGAGCCATTGGGCGCCGACGTGGCAAGGACGACCAGATCAGCTGGCACGAGCTCGTCCTGGTGGAGGAGAACGAGCGAGCCAACATGGAGCCGGCGCGAGGGAACTGACGCCCAGTCAGGCCCAGACGCGACCAGGACCGGGCGGGCGTTGACCGCGGCGTCGCGGCGCGCCCGCTCGATGTCGTCGAACGCTTCGCGGACTGCCGAGGCGGTAAAGATGAGAATGAGAGGGATCCACGTGGTGAGCGGGTTGACCGGCGCCAGAGTCGGGTTGAGCTGGAGCGTGGCGATGAGCAGAAAGTAGACATTCATAAACCGCGAGAACTGCTCCATCAAGTTCCGCGGCACAAACGAGAGCAAGGTGTACTTGGTCGATGAGACCGCGTTGTCGGGGTAGTTCCCGCCTGGTCGCTTGCTAACAGCCACCGTCCGCGGCGCGTCGGCGCGTGGCGAGCCATGGGCACTGCGACGAGCATTGGTGTCAAGCGCGCCCGCGCGGCCCGCGCGGACTGCTACGAACCAGGCTCGGAACGACAAAAACTTGGGCGCTGCGTTGGGCCGCGATGCGAGTCGGCCGTGCTCAGCGCTCAGCCTTCGAGCTGCAGCAAGAAGGCGATAGCTGAGCGGCGCGACGACGAGGGAAGGGAGGACCCAGCCTGCAGCGACAATGGCGGTCCACATGAGCGGCGCCTGGCTGCAGACTTCCGGCGAGGCCAGGCCCGGGCGGGAGCAGTCGATGGCGAGCACGGTGTTGGTAGCAACAAGGCCGGTGAGCCAAATGCCCAGTGCGAGGCCCAACCCAAGCGCGGCAGCGTTGCGCGCCGAGGTGGCGAGGACAAGCGGATCGATGGTGCCCGCCGAGGCCTGGGCTGAGACGACCGATGCAGCAGCGGTGACAACCACAGCTGGAACGAACCACACAGCTGCGACAAGCGCGTGTGGGACAAGAAGCGGTGCGATGACTGCCGAGGCGGCGGTAGTAGCCGTCGCGACAGCGGTGGTGGTGGCCGCCGGCGCGAGGCGAGCGGTGTCGAGACGGCTGCGAGGCGAGGAGCGGTCGGGCTCTTCCAGCGGAAGCAGCGAGCTGGTGGAAGAGAGCGGCGAGGTTGGCGGCGGAGTGGGTGGGGGTGTTGGAGGATCAAATACCGTCCGTGGAGCCGGTGGATGGAGGATGGAGAGGGCAGGCAGGTCGTGCGGTGGCGGGTCGAGCGAGTCCAGGGCCAGGTGCGACTTGACCGTCCGGATGCCGGTGACCTGCGAGGGCGTGGATAATCCGGACATGGAAAGCGGAATGATGGGGGCGGGGTGGGGATGGAGGAGTGGTTGGGGTGGTCGTTGTGTGCGGTTGTGTGTTTTTTGTGGGGGGGGGGGGGGGAGGTGGGGTGGGGGAGGGGGAGGGCAGTGGGCGCGGTGTTCTGCCACCGGAGCGTGACCGGGGCAAGGGGCTGGGCGGCTGGATGGGGGACGGCTTTTCGATTCACTTCTACTTGGTCTTGGCGGCAGCGTCGGCGGCGAGGACAGCCTTGGTGCGGGACCAGTAGGCGATGATCTGGACGACGATGACGCCGTTGAGAACGGTGCCGATGATAAAGCCGAGAACGAGCCAGACGTCGTTGACCTGGGTGAGAGTGGTAAAGACGCGGGCGAGCGAGCCGCCAAAGTTGAGGAAAAAGGTGATGAGCGAGAGCGGGCCGGTATGGCCGTTGGCAAAGTTGGCGATGATCTGAGGGATGCGGGCGGCGCAGGCCGAGGGGATGGTGGAGAGCGGGAGGATCCAGCGGAGGTCAGCCGGGAGGACGATCATACCATAGACGAGCGCAGCGCCAAAGACCGAGACGGCGATACGCTCAGACCACGCGACCGGCGGTGCGGCGTAGTGCCAGTACATGACGACGAGGACAAGGTTCTGGGCGAGGATGATGGCGGCCTCTCCATAGGTAGAAAACGGGTTGCCCTCGAGCACGTTGTAGGTGGTGGTAATAGCGAAGACTGCCACGTCGAGGTAGAACGAGAGGCCCGAGATGCCTGCCACCGAACCAGCGCGGACAATGTTGATAACCTGCGGAAGCTTAAGAATGACCGAGCCGGCCACAATGGCCAGCCCCAGGACCTGTGAGACGAGCACCTTGACCTCGGACAGCTCCATGCCGATGACCGGGAGCGGGGCGCCGGCGACAGAGACCACAGCCAGCGCTGCCACGAGTCCGATCACGAGTCCCCAGGTGTACATGGCTAGACAGGCTGGTTTGGAGAGTGAAGAGTGAGGAGTGGTCGGGGAAAGGGTGGGGTAGGGTAGGGTGGGGGGAAGGGGGCACCGCGAGCGGTGGTTCGGTCGGCGGCGTGGCGAGGTGGCGGCCCGACGCGAAAGAGCACCGAGGCAAGGCAGCACGATCCCACATCGAGAATTTCTAGGTTGACCCTCCCAAGGCAGGCCGATGTAGTAGGGCAGAACTAACCAGGCGCACGCAGTGGCAACCTCAAACAAGCACGAGGGAGCGGGTGCCATCATGCCCAGCTCAATGAATACCGATTGAGAGGCAGGCTTCAAGGGTGGCAGCGAGACGGCAGGGTGGGGATGACGGGCGGGATGTGTGAACGTGCGCGCATCGTCCATCCATACACATGGTTGTGTTCCCTGCAACAAGCCTAGCATATTCATATACATAGTGCTGTCATCTGTGTCCATGGTGGCAAGGTGGAGGCGAGAAAGAGATCAAACAGGCTGGTTGCCGCGACTTTGACCCCCCCCCCCCCCCTCGAAACAGCCACCCCCCCCCGCCTCCCCCTACCATAGGCATTGTCGACTCGATGAGACATTACTCCTAAGGAATGGACCTGTTACACTATGCACTATCGTAATTCAGAAAACCTGCGTCATCGGGGGGGGGGAGGACCGTCTGGCGTCTGGGCGAGTTGCCCTCTTAACCCACAATGTGTAGCTGTTTTGTGTTGCATGCCATATTTCTCACAACAACCAGTTGCCCGTCGTTCACTCCACCACCCAGAGAATAGAAACACCCGGATACACACACACACATTCACATACACGTACTTTCTTCACACGCCAGTACGTACATGCTTGTACAGCTCCACCCCCCCCACACACACACACACACATGCAAACACACCATCCCCCCTCCCCCATTCCACCTCCTCAACTCTCGCTGTATGTGCATGCATGCCACAAGTGTCGCAATAATGCAGGGATGGCTCGACTCGCACCGCCTACCCACTCACACTGACCAGCCGCATTGAGCAGATAGGGGATGCGCGGCATGCGGTATGTGCAACTGGCGGTTGCCTTCAACATAGCCTTGCTCGTGATGTATGGGCTTGGTGGCTTCGACATGTCTGTGACCCCAATAGGGCACTGGGTCGGCGGAAGAACAACAACCCTGGCGCGGTCGCCGCCTCCTCCATCACCACCGCCGCCGCCTCCATCACCACCACCGCCGCCTCCACCATCGCCACCTCCGCCTCCACCATCACCACCACCGCCGCCTCCACCATCGCCACCTCCGCCTCCCTCCCCACCACCGCAACCGTCACCTTTTGTGCCAATCAATATCTCTCGCTTTACTTTCTCCGACTATACCCCGCACGCCACGTTTCGCAACCCGGCCGCGACATGCTCTCTTGCCCTGCCGATGGTCGGCGAGCTCGGCACACATGATGTTGGCGAGCTGCTCAACTTCACTGGGTTTGCAGGAGTCAGCATCACCCGCTCAGTAATCGAGACTGCTGGCGAGCCAGTTTCGTGCTGCGCTGTGGTGGTCCCGGAGGATCTCCCGTACCTCATCCATGAATCTACAGCGGCGTGCCTCGCGTTCAATGTAGGCGCATCGATCTCGAACTCGTTGGACTATAGGGGTGCGACTGTGACGATCAACGCCCAGCCGCCGCTGTCGGCAACCAACGAAGGCGATCCCGCTCCACAGCGCTTGGGCAAGGTCGGGATTGCGGAATGGCACGAGGGCCTCCTCGTCGACGTCGGCTTTTCCGGCTCATCGTGCACCATCCCCGACAACCGCACCCTCTTTGTGGCCCATGAACCCTGGACCAACACTTTCTGGCATGACTTTCACAACGGCTTTATGCGAACGTTCGGCACGCTCTATGAGCTCGACGATCCGTCACTGTTGCAATGTGACGACAGCTGGCCCGAGGCTTGTCGGGTCAACACGACTAAGGTCATCATCGCCTATTGGGTCACTTCAATCGGAGATCATTCGGCCGGGCCTACCCTGCTCGGGCTGCTCCCACATCTGGCGGACGAGATCATCACAGAGCCGGATCCATCGCACTGCTTCGCGCGGGTGGTTGCCGGCCAGGCCACGGCACTTGATCTCAACGCTGGCATTCGTTTTACAGTCAAGTCGACGAAGGTGCTCTCGTACTTTTCGCGCTGGTACTATTATGTTGCCACCGGCGAGCCGCTCGAGCCGGCGCTCGGAGTGGAGGGTGCGAAGACGCCAGGATCGCGTTCAGGTCTTACAGAACTTGATCTGGAGCGACTGGCCGAGCCGCGCACCGAGCATCACGTGCTCATTATCTCCCGCCAACATGCTGCGAATGGGCGTAGGTGGGGCCCGGGTGTGAAGGAGGCCATGATGACCTGGCTCGAGAGCTCCGGAGTCTCTGTCGAAGCTGTTGACTTTGCGGCGGTGTCCGTAAAGGACATCGCGGCTGCAGTCCGCCGGGCAACGGTCATCATCGGCGTCTCGGGTGCGGGCATGATCAACATGATGTTCGCGAGACCAGACACGGTGCTCATCTACATCTACCCTGAGCGTGTCTTTGCTCACAATGATCCGCTCAACAGCTCAGGCATTTACATCACGCTGGCGCGGATGCGAGGCTGCCAAGTCGTGGTGGTTCATGAATATACGGCCGGCTCGGATACCGACAACTACCTCCCGCTTCCCATCGCGGCGAGTTTCTTCAAGATTGGCTTCACCCTCGGCCTCGGCGGGCGTTTCCCGCCACCGACGCTGGCCCCAGTTCCTTCGGTCTGGGATGGCCCATCGGCGGACGAGTACAAATACACCATCATGTAGCTAGTCACGCATTGACCCTTAATAATAACTTGGCCCTAGATAGTACATCTTGAGCATGGAACAGCTTGGCATGACTTCGCAGTGCAGTGGCGCGAGCTGTTGGCGTGACATCTGCGAGAGCTCCAGTTTGGCGAGCGTGACCAGAACGAGGCATACCTGACCCTCACTCTCAGTCAATCATGCCGCGCGTGTTTGGTGGATCGCCCAAGTGCACGGTGTGCGCCAAGTCTGCATACCCCATGGAATCGCTCACTGTTGATGGTGCTGTGTACGTTCTCCCTTCCCTCCCCTCTATTCCCTCCACCCGTGAGCATGCGGCCTGCGCTCACCCGCCTTTCGCCCGAAAGGGCGGCTCGGGCTACGACACGCCGCGTGCTCATGTGTCGCCCACACGCCATCTACGGGTATGACGTTGGGCAAGGTTCAAGTATGGGGTTTCATGCACCTCCTATATCCTTCCTGACTCCGCCACTGGTTTGTACTTCCCTCCTGTTGTCGGCCACGTCGCTTTGCGTTGTGACCAATTTCTTTGCAATGGCGAACAGACGCAATGAACGAACGAACGTAACGAACGCACAAACGGACGCAACGAACGTATCGAACAGTGCGAGCGGACAATGGCGACGATTGTAATCATGGCAACCATCGATCGATTTGCAACGAACGTATCGAACAGTGCGAGCGGACAATGGCGACGATTGTAATCATGGCAACCATCGATCGATTTGCAACGAACGTATCGAACAGTGCGAGCGGACGATGGCGACGATTGTAATCATGGCAACCATCGATCGATTTGCAACGAACGTATCGAACAGTGCGAGCGGACAATGGCGACGATTGTAATCATGGCAACCATCGATCGATTTGCAACGAACGTATCGAACAGTGCGAGCGGACGATGGCGACGATTGTAATCATGGCAACCATCGATCGAATCGCAATTCACTCACTCCCCTCCCTCTTGCCACAGGCTCCACAAGACCTGCTTTATCTGCTCGTGCGGATGCAAGAAGAAGCTCTCGCCGTCGACGTACGCCTCGATGGATGGCACCTTCTTTTCCAAGCCGTGCTTCAAGAAGCAGTTCCTTTCCAAGGGCGACTACTCCAAAGGTTTCGGTAAGGCCACGCCCGAAGAGGAGTGGCGTGCCAAGAAGGCCGGTGGAGCTAATGCAGGTGCGGCGTCGGCGTCGGCCGACACTGCTACCACCACCACTACCACTTCGACCCCGGCTGCTGCTGCCGAGCCCGAGCCTGCTGCCGAGCCCGAGCCTGCTGCCGAGCCCGAGCCTGCTGCCGAGCCCGAGCCTGCTGCCGAGCCCGAGCCTGCTGCCGAGCCCGCGGTTGAGGCCGAGCCCGCGGATGAGGCCGATGCTGCTGATGCTGCCGAGCCCGAGGCTGAGGCCGAGCCCGAGGCCGAGCCCGAGGCTGAGGCTGAGGCTGAGGCCGAGCCCGAGGTCGAGGCTGACGAGTAACCAATCCATTGAACTCCTTCTCTCGTGTTATGACGGCGGGACAAACGAGTTGCCGTCGTGGTCAGCGGCCGGCTCGATGGTGGCGCCGCCAGCGACGGTGTAGTTCTCAAGGCGCGCGCCGGCGCCGATGGTGGCGGACTCGCAGACGACCGAGTTTGCGATGACGGCGTCGTCAGCGATGGAGACGTGGTCCATGACGACCGAGTTGACAATCTTGACGTTGGCGCCGATGGTACAATGTGCACCGATGTTGGATTTCTTGACGGTGGCGCCGTCGCCGAGCGTTGTCGAGTCGCCGACGCACGACTCGGATCCGACGGCGTTGATGTTGGTCAGTTCGACCGAGTCTGCGATAAACTGATACCGCGAGGAGGGCGGAATGAGCGGGCGCAGGTCGCAAACCTGGTTCTTTGCGGGCACGTCGCGGTTGGCAGCCTTGTACGACTCGATCGAGTTGATGCGGAGGGCGTAGACGTCGGTGGCGAGGACGTAGTGGCAGCGGACGAGGTCTGCGGCGACCTCTGCAGGCGAGATCTGGCCTGATGAGAGAGCGCGGGCCGAGAGCGAGTCGCCACCAGCCTTGGGCGTCTCGCTCTCGCCGCCAGTCGAGCGAGAGAGAAAGTGCTGCTGCGGGAGAGCGAGCGAGTCGTCGGCGCCGCCGCCGAGGCCGAGCGCCACCGGCTCGATGCCCATGAGGGCGAGGTCCGGAGCGGCAAGATGGGCCAGCGACGAGAGCGTCTTGCGGCGGAACTGCTTGTTGATGAGGAACGGCACGAGGTGGGCCTTGATCGACTTGAACGAGGTCTTCTCGGCGAGCAGGTCGAGGACCCAGTGGGCGAAGAAGTACACGTGTGTGTCCATGAGCGAGGAGCAGACGGCGAGGCGCGGGTAGCGGCGGAGCAGCGACTTGCGCATCGAAGCCTTGCCCTTGGCGTCAAAGTCTGCCCCCGACGCCATCATGACGATGCGGGAGTCGTCCTCGTTGAGGGCGACAACGTCGCGGTCCTCGAGCGGAACCTCTGCGGCGGCCTTGGCGGCGGCGGCGGCGGCGGCCTTGGCGGCGGCGGCGGCCTTGCCGCCCTTGCCGGGCCGCCTCTTGGACCGCGGCGCGGCAAGGAGCATGGTGAGGGTGGCGTCCTTCATGCGGTGGACGTCGGCGACGTGCTGGAGCATGACGTCTGAGATGATGTCGCCCGAGACAACCACAAAGTCGGTCTTAATGCGGTCGGCGACCGAGCGGAGCGCGTCTGCCGAGCCTGCGTCGTCGTCGGTCGCCTCGACAGAGGCCACCAGGCCGCGGACAGGGTACGACTCGAGGCACTGCATAATGGACTTGGCCGACGACTTGGACGCCACCACCATGGCGTGCTTCGTCCCGCACCTCGCGAGCATCTCCAGCTGGTACGAGAGGAGCGGGCGGTTGGCCACAGGGAGCATGCACAGTGCCGTGTCTTCCGTCAGCGGGTGCAACTCGCGAGCCTTGCCCCCGGCCATAATCACCACCGTGTATTCGCTCACGCTGCTTGCCTCGGGCGTCGTAGCCATGGCCAAGTCGGTGCCGAGTTGCGTCTGCCGGCCTCCACCAAACACACCCACTTGCCCGACTCGCTGACTCGCTGACTCGCCGACTCGCCGAGTCATTCGCACTCGCTGCCGCTCACTGGCTGGCCAACGAGCCAGACTCGGCGAAGCTTGGCTGGCAACCCCTCCCCCCTCCCCCTCCCCCCCCCCCCCATACCTCTGTCCCACATTTTTTATTCTGCATCTCGCATCTACGACCGCCGCCGGACCCGCGGGCCAAAGTAGTGCGGGACTCCGTTAGGCGCCATCAGCCAGTTCGGATCCCAGATGATGCCCTCTTTGAGCATGACGTGCCGGTAGTAGGCCGAGCACTGGTAGCCGACACGGTTGGGGATGTACGAGGCAAAGAGGCCCCACTTGTTGCCGGCGCCGTGCTCGGCGGCGACCTTGATGAAGAGCTCGTGCTCGGCGCGAGTCCACTCGCCGAGCGCGCGCTCGCAGCCCGGCGCGACGTGGCGGTAAAAGTAAGCGTTCGGGTTCTTGCAGAGGAGCTTGGACGACCAGAACTTGGCCGACGACCACCCGCGCGGCTTGGCGCCCTTGACTTTGTTCTTCGACCCGATGCCCATCGGGTTGGCAAACGAAAACTGCCCGCCGCCGCCCTGCCGCCACGCATCACTGGCCGAGTCGGGAATGCCGTGCTCGGCCGCAATGTCCGGGTTCACCCATCCCTCGTACTTGCCCACAACTCGAACCTTGGGCTCGATGCCGCGCGCTGTAAAGTACTCTTCCATCGTCACAAACTCGACATCGTCAAACTCCTCCGACTTGCCCGATGCCGACACAGTGTCCAACGCCTTGCTCCGCTTCGCCACCGGCCTCGCCTCGCCCTCGAGCGCCTCCTCGGCGTACGACGTCACCCCGCGCCCAGCCTCGACCTGCGATCGGATCCGCCGCGACTGCCTCACCGGCGCCGCCGCCTCCCGCGCCTTCTTCTGCCGCGCCTTGGCATCCGGCGCCGGTGCCCGCCGCCGCTTCTTGCCCACCACCACCGGCGCTGCCGCTACCTCGGCTGCCACCCCATGCTCCTCGGCGAGGCTGGCTGCCACCGGCCTCATCGCGTTTGCCATTAGCGCCGTCATCGACGCATCCAACTCTAGCGACTTGAGCATCTCCTGATTCCGTCGGATGTTCTCCAGCCGCTTTGCCTCGTAGTCCATCTCTGCCGCCCCGACACGTAAGGATTCTACGCATTGCCACCAGCCGACACACGCACTCACCCACCACAACCACAACCACAACCACACACGCACACGCACACGCACACACACACGCACCATCCCTTCGTCCCTCTCCCAACCTACCGTCCCCGATCCTGTGTTGCACTCTATCTGCCTGTGCTCTTCAGTCACGTGTCCCTCTCCCTCCCTCCCTCCCTTCCCCTCTGTCAGTCAAGCCAACCAACCGTTCAGCGATGGCTCCTCCCCCCACCCGCCGCCCCACACCCCGGCCCCTCCCACACTCCCACACATACACACGCATACACACATACTCACATAGCCCGCCCCCCTCCCTCCACCACCTCCACCTCCACCGACATCCCTCCCATCCCCTCCCCCTCCCCCCTCCTCCCATCCATTCCTATTGGCTGACGATGTCCTTGAGCGACTTTACCAATGACCATTGCCCCTGTTGACTGTCGTCGATCCCACACACCACTCCACGCCACACCAGCCCACACACACACTCTCTCTCACAACCCACGCCCCCGCCCCACACACACACACACCAAACACATACACGCCACCACCACCACAAACCACTCGCCCATACACCACATACATACACCATGTCAAACTCCCGTCGTGTCGCATACTTCTATGACAGTACGTCCCCCCTTCCCTCCTCTCCCCCCCTGCCCCCCCCCCCGTCCTCTCTCTCACTCGAGTGTGTTCCATAAAACTAACCTCTCCCCACACAGGCGCCATCCCGACCTTCCATCTGGCTGCTGGTCACCCGATGAAGCCGATCCGGTCGGGCATGACCCACAACCTCATCCTCAACTACGGGCTCTACCGCAAGATGGAGATCTATCGCCCGCACTACGCCACCGACGACGAGATGTCGCGCTTCCACTCGGACGACTACCTCAACTTTCTCCGCCTCATCACGCCCGAGAACATGTTCGAGTACTCGCGGCAGCTGCACCGGTTCAACGTCGGTGAGGACTGTCCGGTTTTTGACGGCCTCTACGAGCTCTGCCAGCTTGCGGCCGGTGGCTCCATCGCCGGCGCCATGAAGCTCAACCACGGGCAGGCCGACATTGCCATCAACTGGGCCGGCGGTCTGCACCACGCCAAAAAGTCCGAGGCTGCAGGCTTCTGCTACGTCAATGATATTGTACTTGGCATTCTGGAGCTGCTCAAGGTTCACGAGCGTGTCGTGTACATCGACTGCGACATCCACCACGGCGACGGCGTCGAGGAGGCCTTTTACACCACCGACCGGGTCATGACCGTCTCCTTCCACAAGTTCGGCGAGTACTTTCCGGGCACCGGCGACCTCCGCGACATCGGCGCGCAGGAGGGTCGCAACTACGCGCTCAACTTTCCGCTCAAGGACGGCATGGACGACGCCTCGTACGAGATGATCTTCAAGCCCATCATGGCCGCCGTCATGGAGCGCTTCCAGCCCGGCGCCGTCGTCCTCCAGCTCGGCGCAGACTCGCTTGCCGGCGACCGCCTCGGGTGCTTCAACCTCACCATCGACGGCCACGCCGAGTGCGTCCGCTACATGAAGTCGTTCAACGTCCCGCTCCTTGTCCTCGGCGGAGGCGGCTACACCATCCGCAACGTCGCCCGCTGCTGGGCCTACGAGACCTCAGTCCTCCTTGACGAGCCCATCGACGACGAGCTGCCGTTCAACGACTTTTTCGAGTACTACGGCCCTGACTTCCGCCTCCACATCGACCCGTCGAACATGCCCAACCTCAACTCGCGCGAGGAGCTCGAAAAGTCTACCGCCTACCTCCTCCAGGTTCTCCACCAGGTCGAGCCAGCCCCGTCCGCCCAGATGCTCGACGTCCCGCCGGAGACCTACCTCGGCGAGCTCGACGAGGACGCAGAGGACCCCGACATCCGCATCTCCCAGGCCACTTACGACAAGATCCGCACTCATCCCTCCGAGTTCTACGACGACGCTGTCTTTGGCGATGGCGGCCGCGCCAAGCATCGCGACGATCCCGCTGCAGCTGCCCAAGGCGTCCTCCAGAACGAGCTCCAGCCCGAGTGCCCGCCCACCAACGTCCCTGCCGCCTCGTCCTAGCCGCTCCACCCGTCATCGTCATTGTCATCCCCTGCTCTCTGCAGCCAACAAACCACCTACTCTCCCCACACGCGCAAGCCTTTTACTGCCTCGCATCAAAACCACGCCCTCCGCCTTGTTCCGCAACCGAACAAATGACTCGCCCAACCAGCAGGACAAAGCACTCGGAACCGTCGGGAAGGAATGAAACAAACGTACGAATCAAACAAAACGAACGAACGAACGAAACGAACGAACGAATCGAAACGAACGAATCGTGCTGCCAGCAAGTGGTCGCTTAGTTGCGGCTGGCGTCGACGCAAGCGGGAACGCCACACTATCCTCTTCAACTCTACGCCGAAGATGTCCGACCGTGCCGCTAACGTTTACATGGTATGTCGTCATGCCGAGTACTTTCCCCCTCTCCCTGTCTGCTTGTACCGCTCCGCTCCCTATGCTACGCCCTGCACCCAAGTCCCGCACCCACCGCCGTCATGCGGGCCAGTGGCGATGCCCAGCGTCTGGGGGACCTTTTTTTGGCGCCGTCGCAAACGTTCCCCCACCACCCATACAGCCGCCTAACCCGCTTCCATGCCCCCCAACCCCGCCTGCCCCTCCTCCCCGAACTGTATGCACTCACCATCCTCTTTCCGTGATTCTCTCGCTCTCCTCCCTCCTCCCACCCGCAGGCCAAGCTCGCCGAGCAGAGTGAGCGCGTACGTTCCCGTTCCTTTGAATGCCGTTTTTTGCGGCCAAAGCTGCGAACCGTTGCAGCGCTGGCATGCCGACGGTAGCAGTGCTGCTGCTGCCCCCCTTCCGCTCCCCCTCCTTCCCCCCCATCCCCCCCATCTTCCCCTTTCCTTGTGAGTAGTGTATGAACCCCTCCTCACATCCTCCCGCCCACAGTACGACGAGATGGTCGAGTCGATGGGTCTTGTTGCCAAGCTTGACGTCGAGCTCACCGTCGAGGAGCGCAACCTCCTTTCGGTCGCCTACAAGAACGTCATCGGTGCCCGCCGCGCCTCGTGGCGCATCATCTCCTCCATCGAGCAGAAGGAGGAGTCCAAGGGCAACGAGGAGCACGTCGAGCGCATCCGCGCCTACCGTGCCCGCGTCGAGGCCGAGCTGCAGAAGATCTGCGCCGACATTCTCGACATCCTCGACCACCACCTCATCCCGTCGTCGACCACCGGCGAGTCGCGCGTCTTCTACTACAAGATGAAGGGCGACTACCACCGGTACGCTACCCTGCCTACGCTCTCCCCCCTGCTCACCCCCACTCCCCCCCCCCCCCTGCCCTTCTGTACCCCCCGCATATTGCCCCGGCTCGCGACCTGTACTCACCTAATTTTTTCGCTTTTCACAGCTACCTCGCCGAGTTTGCCACCGGCTCGGGCCGCAAGGCTGCCGCCGAGAACTCGCTCATTGCCTACAAGGCCGCCTCGGACATTGCCCTCACCGAGCTCCCGCCCACCCACCCGATCCGCCTTGGCCTCGCCCTCAACTTCTCGGTCGTACGTTCACTCTCGCCCTGCCTGCCCCCCCTCCCCCCTCGTCCCCACGCACGCGTTCCTGCCGCTGACCCCCCCCCCCCCCCCCCCCCCAACTCCTTTTTTTGCCCTTCTTCACACACTCACCCTTCTTTCCACTGCTTGCTCGTCTTCAGTTCTACTACGAGATCCTCAACTCGCCCGACCGCGCGTGCCATCTCGCCAAGCAGGCCTTTGACGACGCCATCGCCGAGCTCGACACCCTCTCGGAGGAGTCGTACAAGGACTCGACGCTCATCATGCAGCTGCTCCGCGACAACCTCACCCTCTGGACCTCGGACATGCAGGGCTCGGACGGCGACGAGAAGGAGAAGGACGGCGACGAGTAAGCCACCCTCACCAGCTGTGCTTTCAGCTGTAGCTGTCCGAGTGTCAGCCACTCTCCTCAACCTTCGCCTTTGACCCATCCACACCAACTCTCCCCACATCCCGCTTGCTTCTGATTGGAAGCCTGAAACATGAACACTCGACAGTTGTCACCCTCATCCCCATCCCCCCAACCTCTTTTCCACACCGCGTGTCCCTGGCACCGGTTGCCCGCGTCCGCTCGCAGCATTCGCGCCCAAACATGCCCTCAACCACAACGCCCCACACCCCTCCACACACGCCACCATGCCCCGCACAGCCCGCCCAGGATCATCACACACACACAGCCGCTCTATACCCCAGTCCCCGCCACCCTCCCCCACCGCAGACGCCGAGTGGGGCTCGCTCGCCTCACCTCCCGACACGCCTGCCCCGCCGTGCTCGCGCTGCTCCTCGCTCGCTGCCCGCATCGAAGAGCTCGAGCTCGAGCTTGACATCGCTCGCGATGATGCTGCCTTTGCCCGCCTTTGCCCCTCGCTGTCGTCCAACCCCGCCGTCACGCCCGCACTCGCTGCCGAGGCCCGTCGCCTCGCCGATGAGAACGCCCTACTCCGCGACGCCCTGCTCGACATGCATGACGCCAATGAGGCACTCCGTGCTCAGATCGCTGCCCTCTGCACTGAGCAGGCCGCAGTGCCTCAGCAACCGTCCTCAGCTCCAGCACCACTCGCCAAGCTCGCTCCTGCCTCGCGCCCCCTGGCTGACATCTCCAACGCGTCGCCCGCCTCGCCCCGCCCGGTCCTCGCCCGCCTCGCCGCCCGCGGCGGCCTCAAGTCTTCAGCCGCCGCCGCTCGCATCCGCTCGTCGTCCGCGCGGTGAGCCCATCTTTATCTGTTACGTCGCCGCGCCTGCCATGCCCCGCACCCAGCCATAACCGCCGCCGCCGCTGCACCTCCAACTGCAACTCCGATCGCCGCGCCCTCGGCAAACCACGCCCAACCACTCAGCTCACCCTTTTCCACACTCGCCAGCTCGGTGCCGGGCAGCACGACCTGGTCAGCCATGGCGTCCCGCGCCACCACCGCCGTCTCGAGCGTAAACCCCGCGTCGGCGCAGCAGTAGCCGTAGACGCCGATGTACACCCGCGTCCCGGCAGAGACCGATATCCACGCCCGCGAGCTGCGCCCGGTCCCGGTATCGGCAGCATCGTGCACGAGCTCGGTCGGGAGTGTGCCGCTGACGCTGAGAAACAGGTCCGCATCGGCGTTGACGCTTGGTGCGTCCATCGTCACTCCGAGCATTCCCTCAATGCTTGGCGTGACCACGTAGTACGCCCACCCCAGGATGCCCACTTGTCCTGTAGCGCTTGCCCCGATTGCCACTTCTACCGCCGCGTCGCCACACTCACGGCCAAAGTACGGCGCCACACAGTTGCATCCGCCAAGCGCCGTCGCCTCGCCGTGCCCGTTGCATCCTGGTACCGGCATCGCTGCCACAGCTTGTGCGCATTCGGCTTGCGGCAAGAGCTCCATCACACTCTCTAGTTCGCGTGCGCGCCACTCGGCACGCGTGAGGCCGTGAACTGTGAGCCCGTACGCCTGGGCCTCGGTCGAGAGCATCCGCCCCGCCTGCACACCGACCACCACCACGTCACCGACACCAAGCCCGGCGCTTACCAGGTCAACCACAACCCGCTCAAGATTGTTGCCGTCGATTGCAGCCCGGTGCCTTGCTCCCGTCGACGGCAGCGCCACCACCAGGTCAAGGTCGTTGACCAACGGGTGCGCGGCAAGAACCGAGGCCGGAGGATCGGTCCAAGCCAGTGCCGCCACCAAAACACTCTGTGCGTCGACAATCTGCCAGCAACGAACAGCTTCGTCACCGCCACCTGCCACCTGTCCGTGCTCAGCCGCAAACGGGAGCCGACCCGCGTCGCGCGGCCACTCGGCCGGCACAAGCCGTGCCAGCGAGACCTGGCCAAAGCCTGTGGCAAAGAACGCCGGCAGCGCCGCCGATGTGGTGCTCTCGGCGCCTGATGCCGCAAGCGCCGCACGCAGCAGCGCCGCGTTCGGTTCGCGGCCTGCTGCCCGGAACAGTTGCGTCACCCGCGCTGCCATCCCGGCCACCAGCGGCACCGCCATCGACGTGCCCGGATACGTCACCAACGACGCTTCGTTGCAGAACCCGCCGGCGTTGGAGCCATCCAGCGAGTTGGCCGACGTCACGTACGCGCCCGGCGCCAGCACGTCCGGCTTGGGCCGTGCATCAAACGTCGGTCCGCGCGATGAAAACCACGCCACGCTGCCTGGCGCTACGTCCAGGTGCAGATTGTGGCCCAGGCTGCTGTCGAGCTCGAGCGTCGCCGGATCGAGCCCGCTCAGCTCGACACTCGCGTCTCCCCCGGATTCGAGCACCGAAATGAGCACCTTTCGCGTCGTCGCCGCCACCGCAACCGTCACCACCGTAACGTTGGCCGCAATCTCTGCTTCATCCGCCTCAAACACCATGCCGATGGCACCCGAGTCGTCGCTGCCAAAAACCACCACGGCCGCTGCTCCTCCCACACTTGCCAGCATGCCCTTGGTCGCAAATGAACACCGCCCACGGGCGGCAAAGACTACAACGCCACGCAGCGAGCCGGGCGCAGGCGCCTCGCACATCACTCCATCGCTCGCCATCGCCAGCCTGCCCGAGATCGGCGTTGCGCCAAGCGGCAGTCGCGGGCCAAACGAGGCGAGCCGGACCAGCCACGACGTGCTCCGTCCACGCGACGCGAGCACCGCTCGGCCGCGCGCAAGATAGGCGTGCGATGACGCCGCAGGTGCATGTGTCGCGCCCACAGTCACTGCGTTCTTGGCCGTCCCTGGATGATTGACAGAGAACCAACCATCAGAGCCCGAGTTGCCAGCCGCAAACAGGAGTAGCACATCCGGCCGGCTCGCCACAAAGCTATCGACTTGCGACGCCGCGAACGAGTACACGTTGGCGGTCGCGCCCCACGAGTTGGACACAATCGTCGCGTTTGCCGACACAACCAGCGGCTCAAAGAGCGCTCCCGCCAGATCATGCGGGAGATCGAGCTCTCCGCTCGAGTCACCGACGTCCGCAAACGCTACCCGTGCGCCAGTCGCCGCCCCGCCCCACCCCGCCAGCGGCGCTGTCTCGGGTGCAAACGTCGCAGAATCGACGGCCGCACCCGGACCGGCGCACTCGGGAGGAGATCCAACAAGCGTCGCCACCACATGCGTTCCGTGCCCCCGGGGCTGTCATCAAAGTCGGTGTGGTTAAAGTACGCCACAATCTTGCGGCCGTCCGGCGCACGCCAGCCGTCCGCCGTTGTCGACCGCCTCGCCTCGTCGCCGTTGCACCCGTCCGCCAGCAAGCAATGGTCCACGTCAACGCCAGTATCGACAACTCCCACCACCACACCGTGCCCATCCAGCCAGCCCGGCACCGCATCTCGCGGCGCGACTACCGGGACCGCCCACTTTGTCATTGTGGAAACGCCGGAACGCTGCTCACGTCAACAATGGGATCAGACCCAGCGAGCGCAGCCTCCCACTCGCGCGCCGATGAAATCTGCTCCACCCTGCCACTCACTCGCTGAGAAAGGACCGGAAAGGTGTCTGGACGCCGAGGCGAGCCAAGGAAGACCACCCGCTGCGCCGCCGCGAGAGCAGCCGCCACTTGCGGATCACCCCACACACAGTGGACATGGTCCCCATCCGGCGGAACAAACCCGATGTGGGTACATGCTGCTGCCAGCATCTGTCTGCTCTTCTTGCTCGCGCCATACACCACCGCCGTCGTTGCCGCATCTGTCATCCCCGCCCCAATCGCTCGCCCCGCCGCCCGCAGGTGCACCACGCCACACACAGGCTCTGTCGAGAGCACCACCACCAGCGCCACCACTGCCACCACTACCACCACACCCGCCCGCCCCAGCTCGCTCTGCCACCTCCGCTCTCGGCCTCGCCACCCCTGTTTGACTCCTCGCCGCTGGCTTGCCATGGCCGAGCGAGGTGGCTGCCCGTCGTCGTCTGTCGTCCGTCGCCCGACTCACCATAGCCAAGGCGGTCGCAGGGGATGGTGGCGGGCGGTGGCGGTGTTACCCACAAAGATCTACACGCAAGCGATGGACTGCATAGCTGATGATTCGCGCAGAGGTGCAAACTGGGCGTCGATGCAGCAGAGGCGCAGCCAGTTGGCAAGGCAGCCTTCCGAGTATGGCGAGGTCCGCGAGGAGATGCGCTTGCGGAGGTCCTCGTTGGTGGTAAGGTTGGCCGAAGTGAGCTGAATATGGTAGGCCAGGAGCGGGCTGACCACCAGCGCGCCCATGGCTGCATATGCGAGCAGCATGCCCGCCGCATACATCTGGCCCGATGCGTAGCTGCACTGCGACTTGCCGCTCATCGACGAGTGCAGGTAGAGAACAAGGCCGAGACTGATGACCAGCGCAAGCGCTGTCGCCACGGTGAGGACGAGAAAGACGATAAATACCCCGTGATTGGCACGCCCAACATCGTTGGCAATCCACGGGCAGTGGTGGTCGAACCGTGAGACGCATCGCCCGTGCAGCTTGCAGTGTGCTGTCCGCGGTGGGCGCCACGCGCGGCACGCCTCGCACCAGCGCGCGCGAATCTCAACCCCGTTGACAGCCACTCCGTACTCCAGCCCTCCACGCGATGCAGCATACACCCGATCGGTGTCTGCAGCAGGTACCACCGGCTCGCCAGCGCCCGGCCCGCCCCGGCTGCTGTCCACCCGACCGTGCCCGGATCACGGAGCGAGGCCGCGCATAGCCCAACGAGCGCACCCAGCGCCAGCACTGCCATCACCGCCACCACGCCCGCCACACCCAGAGGTGACATGGCACACGCCAGGCCATGGGCGACAACACCCGCGCCAGCGCACGCCGGCCCGCCGATCAGCACAGCCGTCAGCACCAGGCCTGGCCGCACCCCGCCGCACCACACCCGCCGGGCACGGCTACCCCGCCCAACGCCATCCAGCCCCGCTTCGGTCACCTGCTCCACCGGTAGCCAGCCTGGATGAGGCACTGTTGTCGCCAGCTCCTTGCGCCTCATCGCCCGAGAGCCGTCGTCATGCCCGGTCCCGTTCACCTCGCTGACCTCCGACTCGGCCTCAACCGCCCCGTCCGCAGGCCTGGCACCAGCACCAGGCACAGGCCCATCCGCCAGCAGCGGGCGCATTGCGTCGCTGTCGCCGTCGCCCATCCACCCGCAGCAGCCTCTCTACCGGAACGGTGCGACGAGAGGTGCCACGCGCCGCCTTTACTTCTTGTGCTCGTCCTCGGCAGCCGAGTTGGACTCGCTGGCCCGCGCTTGGCGAACTGCGCGCTTCCTCCCGACATCGGCGTGCGGTGCGAGCTCGGTCCGCAGATCGGCAGGCAACCGACGAGTAGCCTCGCGAAAGGTGAGTTTGGACATGAGGCTTGAATGCTTCGCGACGTAGTTGGCAACAGCCTCCGGGTTGTGTGTCGAGTACTGGCGCAGCGCCCAGCCGATGGCCTTGTCGAGGAAGAACCGCTCGCGCGCATGGCTGTACTCGGCTGGATCACGCTTGTTGGAGAGGAGGTGCGAGGCCGAGGCAAAGAGCAGGCTCTCGTCGGTCTTGTCACGGAACCGCAGCTGATGGAGGATGCTCGCCCGCTGGACCCAGAACGAGTCGTCTGCGATCCAGCTCGCCACTGTCGCTTTCAGCTGGAGATCGGCCGGGAACTTGGCCCGTAGGCCGCCAACAGCATGTGAAGCAATCATGTCGACCGTATCCCACCACGGCTCGGTCACCACCATGTAGCGTGCGAGATCGAGCGAGGCCTTGGGCTCCCACACCTTCTTGGCCTTGGAAAACACTTCCAAAGCCGTGTAGTGGAACTCGCGCTGCGGCAGCGCATACAGCTCGCGGACGACCGTCTCCAGCTCGTCATGCGACGCCATCGGATGCGATGTGATGATGTCTTTGGTCAGCACAACCCGATCCGGCTTCTTCAACCCGAGAAACGATGCCGCGTCCTGCAGGTACTTGGTCATGGCCTTTGCCGCCGCCGCGTCCGCCGCAGGCATCAGCACCTCCACCACAGCCGCCACTAACGGATGCCCACTTGCTCTGGCTCGTGACATTACCGACGTCCCACTGCCTTTTTGATGCGAAGAGCTGAGTGCTGCGCTGCCCGCTCCCAACGCCGCCGTCGGCTTGAGATCGGTGCCTGTCCCTGCAAGACACGCCTGGCAACTATTTTTTGGTGTCCCACCCCCCACCCCCCATCTCCACCCACCCACCTCCTTCTGCCTCCCTTCACCACCTCCCTCTCACCCGTCCACGTCGTCCCCACACCCCTCCCGCTCCTCTGGCGTGGGCGGTCCGACAAGGCGCATGCGCCACAGGAAGCACCTCTCGTTAGCCAAGGCAGGGAAGCTACGGGCGGCTTACACAGCGAGCAAGGCGAGCAAGCGCGAGGCACGGCTGAGGGCCATCGCACTCGCCTCGGTGCACAGGCCAGATCGGGCGACGCTTGTCGCTGCGGGCCTGCTCCCAGTCCTTGCCCATGCGCTGGCCTCGGCCCATGCCCATCCGGATCCCCAGCTGGGAACCCTCCTCGACACGCTCCTGCTCTACACTGCAGAGTCCGAGTCGGCGAGCGAGCTGGCCGCTGCTCTCGACGTCGCCCCGCACCTGCTCCGCCTTGTCCGCGAAGCCATGCCTGATGTTGCGGCGGCATCGCTCCCGCACGCCGATCTTGCTTCGCGCTTCATCGCCCTCCTCCGCGCCCTCCTCGCTGCCGCGCCGCCGATCCACGAGGCGCTCTTCCGCGCCAAGGCCATCGCCGTTGTCCTCGGCCTCCTTCCGGACGCTCTCGCTGCCGTCCCGGACCACCGCCTTGTCAGCTACGCCTTTGCGCTCCTCGCCGATCTCTCGGCCTTTAACTCGATTGCCGCCGCCTGGGCCTCGGACAAAGCCCTTGTCCCGCCGCTCCTCGATCTGGTCAACTCCCTTTGCCTCGACCCGGCCTCCCGTCAGATGGCTGCCTACGCCGTCCTCAATCTCGCCCGCTGCCGCCAGGCCCACGCCTCGCTGGTGGCATGTGGCCTTGTTCCGGCCCTAGTGGCCGCTCTCACCTCGGCCGAGCTCCGCGTTGCGCTCACCGACGACGCGCTCGTCTCGATTGCACTCGCCCTTGGCGCCCTCGCCGACTCGCCTCAGGGCATAGCCGGCGTCTCGGGCTCGGCCGCCATTCCGACGCTGTGGGCCGTTCTCGGCGGCCTCGACGCCAAGCCTGACGTGGCCGTCCACGTCATGCGCGCGCTCTCGGCTGTCTCAGCCGTCGATGCCGCCTCCGACTTTGATCCAGCCTCGCTGCTGCCGACCCTGCTCCGCCATCTTGTCGTTGGTGGGCCGCCGACAGTCCTCGCCGAGGTCACCTCCATCCTCGCCTTTTCCGGCTACCCGGCGTCGGTCGCTGAGCAGGTGGCAACCTTTGCCCTCGCCCAGTTGGCCTGCCGCAACACTCCGCGCCCGCTCGCCGACTCGTGCTTTCGCCTCCTCTACCGTTCCTCAGTCCTCCTCCCGGAGCTTGTCCTCCCGCTCGTCATCCCTGGCCTTCTCGCCAACCTTGCCGCCATGGTCTCTGGCTCGTACGTCCTGCACCAGGCGAGCAAAGCCCTGCTACAGCTTGTTCGCGGCCGACTCGCCGGGCCGCGCAAGGACGAGCTCCCGCCGGCTGCCGTCGACGAGCTTCTGGACGTGCTCTTCGACTCGGAGCCGAGCCTTGTCTCGCTCTTCCCAGCCTACTTTGCCACGCTCCTTCCATCTGCTGCACTGCAAGCGCCGCAGACGCCGAGCCATGCAACAGGCACGCCGTTCCTCGCCCTCCCAGGTGCGCCGTCTCGTCTTCTCCCATCATCGGCCGGTTTGGACGGCGACGACTCTGACGCGTACTCGTACTCGTCGATGACTGACGACGACGCGTCCTCCGTCTACTCGTACGACATGGACGCGCTCGACAACCGGATCCGGATCAAGCGGAAGCCGCGGAAGCGATTCAAGCGCCGCCGCGCCACCGTCGACACCGTCGCCGACCGGCTCCGCCGCGAGCAGAAGCGCCAGAGCCGGTTGCGCCGCACGAGGAACGCCTCGCGCGCCCGCCAGCTCGACCGCCGCACCGTATTTGGCCTCGGCGCCGCGTCGACGGCTCTTTTCGACCCGACCGACGACAAGCTTGTTGACCTCTCGGCCCACCGCCAGGAGCTCCTCGCCGAGCCGCCGACTCCGGTTGGCACCGCCCCGATCAAGGACTTTGTCATCACCCTTGCTCTTGCTGATCTCGACCTCCACGTTTGTCTCGTCGACCTCCTGGTCATCCTCGCCTCTCACCCGCGGGCCGTGCTCCGGCTCGAGACCTCGGACGTTGTCGTCGTTATCCTCCACACCTGGAGCTCGGTCGCCAATCTGCTTGCCTCGGTCCGGCCGCGGTCGGACGACGCCACCGTTCTCCGTAAGCTGCTCAAGGCGCTCATCGCCCTCGTTGACGCCATGCTCCGTGCTAGGCCCAAGTACATGGCGCACGTCCTGTTTTTTGCGATCGACGAGTCCGCACCCGGCCCGGCCAAGGCCTTTTCCGGCTATGCGCCCGTCGCCCTGCCCCGGCTCGCTGCCGCCGTTCTCCGCATCTGCATGATGGAGCCGGAGACGGAGCTGCTGGACGTCCTCACCTCGCTCCTCACCTTTATGGCCACCCACACTGCTGTCCTCCCGCTCTTGCTCAGCCTAGGCGATGGTGGCTCGATTACCGCCGGCTTTATCTTTCACGTTGTCGAGCGAGTCTTGGGCCGCTGCCTCGAGCACTCGCTCGCCCACACCGCCATGGACGACTACAGATTTGCGCTCGGCGTCGCCGCCCGCCTCGCCGCCCTCGCCTACGAGCTGCTGCTGGCGGTCTCTGTCACCGCGCCGTTCTTTCGCGACCCAGAAAACCGCGTCGTTGTCGGCGTCGTCCAACTCCTTGCCGCCAAGCTTGCCGCGGTCGAACCGTTTGAGCTTGCTGATACCCCGCTGCTTCTTGCCCTTCTCGGCCCGGTCTGGCTTCTCTCTAGGCTATCACGCTACGCGTCGGCAACACTGCATGCCCCACATGCCGACGGCTTGGCAGCCTGGATCCGGCTCCTCCGCGCCGCGGCTCGCAAGGGCTCCAAGCTTGCTCCGCTCCCGCTGCATCTCATTCTCGGCATCCTCGCCAACTTGGCCGCCGTGCCATCCATTGCCCGCGCCATGCTTGACTCGCCCATCTTTGCTGACGCACTCACTACTGTTGCCCGCTCGCGGCCTACCTCTCAGGTGGTGTTTCTTACCACCGCCATCGTCCGCCGCCTCGCTCCGACGCCAGAGACCCTGCCTGCTGCCCTCTCCTGGCTCACCGAGCGTATGGCCACCGTCCGCGACGACGACGACCCCGAAACCAGCGAGCTCGGCACTGTCGCCGCCGAGCAGGTCCGCGTCCTCTTGAGGACATCTGCCCGCGTCGACGCCGCCGAGCTCTCCGCCCGTCGCAAAACCGTTCTCGACGGCCGCTTCGTCTATCCGGCCGGCCTCATGTCGAGCGTCACCTACAAGGCCATGCACGACCCCGACTGGGCCGATGCCAAGCTTCCGCCCGATTCGAACGTCGTCGCCTTCGTCGATGCCGCCTTTAAGGCCTCTCTCCGCCGCAATCACAAGCCGAAACAGCCGTAGCCCCCCCCCCCCCCCCCACACACACACACACACACACACACACACCGCCCACCGCCGGCCGCCGGCCGCCGGCCGCTCGCTGACCATCAACCAGAGAGACAGAGCCACACTTGACTCGACCCCCTTTAACCATGTCGAGCGGAGCACCTTCGGACCCCCTGTCGTGCCGGATGTACGAGAAGAAGTTCCCAGACATTGACGAGCCTGTGATGGTCAACGTGCGGTCTGTGGCGGAGATGGGTGCCTACGTTGCCCTCCTCGAGTACAACAACATCGAGGGCATGATCCTCCTCTCGGAGCTCTCCAAGCGCCGCATCCGCTCCATCCCCAAGCTCATTCGCGTCGGCCGTAACGAGGTTGTCGCCGTCCTCCGCGTCGACAAGGAGAAGGGTACGCCAACCTTTCCACTATCCCCCCTCCCCCTTCTAACCACCTCCCTTCCCCTCCCCCTCCCCCCATGCCCATCCCTCCCTCCCTTCTCAACTTGCCGAGCATGGCTCGTCGAACGCCCATCAGACACCCCCCCCACACACACACGCCACAATCTCCCCCTACACACACCCCTACACACACCACATCCTCCGGTTTACATACCCACTGTCACACACAAGATGATGTGGTTTGAAAGGGGGGGGGGGGGTCGGTGGTATGCGTGCATGGAGGTGGGACGCTGGGGATGTGGTGGCTTTCGCCTTGGCTCATTGGTGTGGCCAATTTTCTGTCGGCCGACCAAGATGGCTGATGATGATGATGATGATGATGGTTGTGGTGGTGGTGGTGGTGGTGGTGGTGGGAATGGGAACGGAATGGTGGAATGCAGAGTGTAGTGTGCAGAGTGTGGACTCACCACGGTAATGTCCGGGAATGGTGCAGGCTACATTGATCTCTCAAAGCGGCGTGTGGAGGAGAAGGACATTGCGCAGCTGGAGGAGAAGTACGCAAAGTCCAAGGAGGTGCACACCATCATGCGGCAGACGGCCAAGGTGACCGGCAAGGTGCTGGAGGACCTGTACGTCCAGTTTGGCTGGCCTCTCTACAAGAAGTACGGACATGCGTACATCGGGTTCTGCAAGGCCATCCAGAACGAGGAGGAGGTCTTTGGCGAGTTTGACATTGAGCCCGAGGTCTACGAGACGCTCATGAAGATGATCCGCCGCCGGCTCACCCCGTCTGCCGTCCGCCTCCGGGCCGACGTCGAGGTCTCGTGCGACACCTACGAGGGCATCGAGGCCATCAAGCGTGCCCTGCGTGCTGGCGAGATCTCCGCCGCAGACCTGCCCTCGGACGGCGACGACGCCGCCGCAGACGACGACGGCGATGCCGACGCCCAGGTCTCAGTCAAGCTCGTCGCCCCGCCGCTCTACGTCTTCCTCACCACCGCCAACAACACCGACAAGGGCACTGCGCTCCTCAACGAGGCCATCGCACGCACCAAGGCTGTCATCGAGGAGGCCGGCGGCAAGATGAACCTCAAGATCCCGCCGCGCGCCACTTCGGAGCGCGACGAGAAGGACTTTACCGCCCTCCTCAAGGATCTCGAGCGCGCCAACGCCGAGGTCGACGGCGACGACTCTGCCGACGACGAGGAGTAGACCACGTAAAAATGCAAGACCAAAGCTCTCCCATGCCTGACGGCCGCCACGCCAAATCGGGCGGCGCCACCACCAGACCATACCCACGCCAGCCACACCCGGCAACTCCCGCCCGACCGAACCCCCCGCCACCGCACTCGGACTCCGGCCCGCCGCCATGTCGAACAATGCCTCTGGTCGGGCAGCGAGCCTGTCGCGGACGCTAGCCGGCGCGGGGCAGGGCGAGCGGCGCGGGCGAGAGCGCGAGCGGGAGCCGAGCAGGCGGCCGGGAGACGCCAGCCGCGCCGCCAGGCATCGGCCGCTGGTCCTCCATCCATACCACACCGATGACCACACACTGTTCGAGGTCGAACTAGGCAATGAGCAGACCTCACTCCTCACTCATCAGGTCCCGCTCTATGCACAAGACGACGAGGTCGGCTCCGGAAACAGCTCCACAGCACCGCGGCTGGCACCATCAGGCGGCGGGTCGCCACGGCTGATCATGCCGCGGCGGAAGCGGCACAAGATCCCGCGGTTTATCACCCAGTATCTGCTCGTCTGGTCGGTGCTGTGGCAAGCTGCGCTCATGCTCATCTTGACACTGACAGAGGCCGGATCGTCGACCTCGGGCTCGCACGCCGCGTCTGTCGATATTGGCATCGGCGTCCTCGTCGTCTTCCAGTCAGTCATGCTCCTGGCCATCGTCATGACCTCGATCAAGCTAACCAAGCAGCTGCTGCATGGCTCGGCCACAGGTGTCTTCCTTATGCAGTCCTATCTCTCCACTGTCCTTCTCTTTGCCGGCGTCTACACCCTACTGTATCGCATCCGCCCCTCGTCCTTCCGCGGCCTCCCCGCCTCGTTTGCTCACGAGACTACCGACGGCTCCGAGCTCAGCCACTCTTCCACCTACGCGGCCACCTTTATCCGCATGCTCTACTTTTCGCTCACCGCCATGACCACCGCCGGCTTTGGCGACATCGTCCCTGCCGTGTGGTACACCTACTTTGCCGTCTCACTCCAGCTCCTCATCTCGGTCGTCTACACCGCCGTCATCTTTGCCCGCGGCGTCGAGGCTCTTTCGCGTGCTCATCAGGCCCGCGCTGCCGCTGAAGCTCGCGCGCAGGGCTTTCTCTCCACAGGCAGCCATGGCTTTCTTGCCACCGGTGCCCATCTGGTCTAGGAACCGCGTCACGCATGACCGCATCGTCTCTACCGCCACCACCACCGCCATCATCACCGCCATACACACACACACACACACACACACACACACACACACACACACACACACCATACACACGATCGCAGTGCTCTCGCAGCAGTCACCATCGTGTCGTCGTGTCGCCCGCTCAAACCAAAGTCGGGCGCCGCCCTCCACGACCCACGCCAACCCCACACTTCCATACTCGCACACTCCTCCCCCCCATCCCCCTTCCTCCACCCATGGGCTTCACTCCATGGTCCAGCACATGGCTACGGGTGGTGCTGGTGGTGCTGGCGGTGCTGGTCTGCCTCCAACTCGCTCTGGCGCCGTCGTCCGCCCCGGCAACCTCGCACGAGTCAGCCGAGCTTCTCGCACGTGCCACTGATGGCACGCACTCAGGCTCGGATAGTCGAGACAGCAGCTCTGGTGGAGAGAGCAAGTCGAGTGGGCAGAGCAACTGGCGAGACGGATCTGACGCGGAGCGGAAGAAGCAACTGGCTCGGCAGCAAGAGTGGGCCCGGTGGAGCAAAGCCGGATCACGCCCGCTGCCCGAAACGCTGAAGAACGGCGCCGATGCTGCTGTCACGTCGGTCCCGCAGAGCCACATCGAGTTTGCGGTGGACTTTACGCCGTCTGACTGGTTTGCTTTTGTTCGCATCCAGAAGACGGCGACCAAGACCTTTACCGCAGTCCTCCGGGCGGCTGTGACGCACGCGTTCGGCCTGCAGCCGATGCAGTGCAGGCAATCGTTCTGCGTGACCAAGACCCGCGATCTTCCGACCAACTGCACCCACTTTCGCAATTGCGTCGAAGCCATTGCTCCGCTCACCTCGTACTCACACGTCATGCGCTGCCGCCTACTTGTCGAGCCGCATGCAGACTACGCCGACCTCCTCCGCCCGTTTGTAGCCCATCGTCGCGGCGTACCCTACCGCCGCCCGGCATGCATCCTCCCGGAGGTTTACCCCATGCCCGACTCGGAAGTTGTTGGCTACAGCGTGATGCTCAACGCGTCGATGGCGCTCTCGCCCATTGTTCCGCCACCACCGCTCCGTCCCAAAGGTCAGGGAAAGCGGGCGCTGCTGTCGATGGCACGGCCGGCCAACAGCGCGTGGGGCGAAAGTCTCGACAAGTTTGCCGTGAAAGCGCAGATGGATCAGGCCGACGCCATGAACCGCGTCCTCGCCGGTCCGCCGCTCCACACCAACCTCCGCGAAGCCTACCTGCGCGCAGCGCAGGAGAAGGTGGAGGAAGGCACGGAACCCGGCGCACCGCGCAACATCACCCGCGCCCGCGAGCTCGCTGAAGAACGCGCGTGGCGCGTCTGGACCATCCGCCAGTGCCGCTCGCTCCTTCTTGCTACCATGCTGCGGCACCCACTTGACCGCGTCATTTCCGAGTACAAGTTTAACGCCGGCCAGGACTGCATCTGGGATTCGGGCCTGATCGCACCGGGTGCGCCCACCCGTGACGGCTGCGCGGCATACGTCACCGAGCCAGCCAACGCTGTCGGAGCCTCGAACCGCATGACTTCCATGCTCGCTGGCCACTCGGACGCCCATCCCCATGAAGTCTACCCCTCGCCAGACGCCATGCTCGAGATGGCGTGGAAGCATGTGGCGTCCATGGCTTTCGTAGGCATTGCCGAGCGGTTCAACGACTCGCTCGTCCTCCTCTCCTGTCGTGTCGGCATCGACGCCCACAATCTCGGCGTCGCCTTTGCCTCGCACTCGCTTGTTGCCAACAAGACCGATGGCATGCGCCTCTTTGACGTTGACGACGAGCTTGCCGCCCTTGTCCTTGCCCACAACGCCCTCGATCTGCAGCTCTACACACGTGCGCTTGCGCTGTTTGAGCGCCAGCTCGCCCACTGCCTCGCCACCCGGCCCGACGTCGTCGCCGACTTTCGCGCAGGCATGGCTGCACCTTCCATGCGCCATGTCGAACTCCCGGACGATGGCTGGGATGCAGGCTTGGCAAGCGAATATGGCGCAGCGCCAACTCCACACCCCGGCGACAACTTGGAGCCGGGCGAGGTGTAGCCGGCCGCCCGCCGCCGCGCGCGGCCGCTCTCGCTCAGTGCCCGTTGAGTGACCAGTCGTACGCTGCGTAGCTGAGCGAGACCTGCTCGCCACGCTGTGCGGCTGCAAGTACCGCAAGCACATCGGCCTCGGGAGACTCAGAGCTGCGAAAGAGCTGGTCTGAGCGCTCGGCGAGCCAGCTCACCACCGACGGTGCAAAGTCGCACGCATACCACTTGAAGATCGACGAGAGCTCAAGCGCTCTTTCGCCGACCGCGCGCACGCTCTGGCTGCAAAAGTTGGCCGCCGCTGCGTCGAGGCCAAACTCGAGATTCCGCGAGGTGAATACCCGGATCGGCGGGCACGAGACTGCGCCGCAGACCAGGGCAAAGTGGATACGGGGGTCGACCGGCCGCATCCGCGCCGCCAGCGCCGCGAGCTGCGGCCTGCGAGCCACGTCGAGTTGCGAGCCGCGGAACCACGGCGCAGGGTGGACCGCGTTGCCGCGCAGCACGCCATGCTCGATGTCGTCAAGCGAGAGGAGCTCCCCCCCAATGCGGTACGCCGACTGGGCAAAGAACGAAGTGCGCTGAGCCATGTCGCCCGGCGCTCCGCGCACAACTGTCGCATGAATGACGATCGCGTTGTATAAATTGATAAACGTGGCCTTGACCTGGTCGTCCGTCAGATCGCAGAGCTGGTCGACTGTGACCTCGTCCGCCAGCCGCGCCACCTCTGCCACATACTGCCCAAACGCCGTCGACGCCCGCATCGACGCGTAGTCGACCTGCCGCCCGTCGTCCGACAAATGATCTGCGTACAACGTCAAGACTGCACCGTTGATCCGCCGTGCGAGCGCCGCTACATCCAGCCTCTCCCGCGACGCGTCTCCTTCTCCGTCATCATCAAGCGCCACCGCCACGTCGTCCATTGCCACACCGTCGTCGGTCTTCTCGTTGCTCTCCCAGTTGTCGCTCTCGTTCGCCCATCGGTAACGCCCGAGCTCTCGGTCACGCTGACGCTTTCATCTGAGCTCGACGCTCCTTGACCATGGCTCACACCCGTAGCACCCGGCTCGTTGAGCACGATCATGCCCGCGCGGACCGGCCGGAGAACCTGGCGAGCGATGCGCAAGGAGCGGCCGAGCGGCGTCGACCACAGGCAGGCAAGAACAAGCAGCAGAGCCACGACCACACCGCAGACACAGAAGCCCACAATGAGCAGTGAACCGGCCATACCAAAGGCGAGTTTTGAGAGAGGTAAGTGGTGAGTGCTATGTGAGACGTGTCCACCTGCCGGCTCTGGATAGCGTTGCCTGTGGGCACCTTGACCAGGAGCGAACTCGTGCCTCCATGCCGACCTCCCTCTGCGACGCCACCACCGTCCTTCCCGGCCCGATCATCCACCACCACATATCAACGATGCGTGCAGTCGATGACTAAGCATCACACACGCTCTGCACCCGCTCATGTCCACGCTGTGTCCACGCGCCCCATGCCCAGCCGATGCCAATCGCCACCAAGCTCATCGACCAAAGCCACCGACCAATGACAGCCTCGCCTGCCTCTCACCCCTCTTTCCACACCACCTCACCACCACCACCACCACCACCACCACCACCACCACCACCACCACCACCACCACCACTCGGTGGGCCACCCATCCCCTCTCCCGCTCTCTCCTTTCAAAGCCCAACCAACCCCCCAACCCCCCAACCCCCCAACCCCCCCCCCCCAACCACCACCACCCCGTCACCTGTCACGCGTCGCGTGCGAGCAGGGCGCACACGTCTAGGCTGAATCCACCGGGGGGAGAATGGTCAAATGCGGCGGCCGGTGTGGCATGCCGTTGAAGCAAGGTCAACCAATGCTAGCAGCATGTGGTCGTAAATGGCATCCGGCTTGCTTTGTCTGTGTCAAATGCCGCAAGCCCTTCCCGGATGGCGCCTTTGTCGACGTCAAGTCCGCTCCGTTCTGTGCCTCATGCTATTCGGCTCATCACGGGGAGCCGTGCAAGCGATGCGGGAAGACTGTGCTCGGCTCCATGTTGCGAGCATGTGACAATGCCTTTCATCCGGCCTGTTTCGTCTGTTTCGGCTGTGGCAAGCCTTTTGCCGGTGGCGCGTACTTTGCCCTCGAGGGCGCGCCGTATTGCCGAGCCGACTACGACGCGCTCGTCGCCCGCCAGTGTGTCGCCTGCGGACTTGTCATCCGCGATCCGAATCCTGTTGCAGTCCGGGCGGGCCTCTTCCACGTCGCTTGCTTCAAGTGCCGCATGTGCAAGGCCGAGCTTCCGCGCGGGCCGAGTTTGAGGACACCAAGATTGGTGCGCTCTGTGACGCGTGCTCGGTCAATCATCGTAACTCGGTCCACGTCTCGGCCATGGGCGGTGCGCCGGTGACGGCATCAGCCTCGACCGGCCGCCGCAAGTCCAAGCCGCGGATTCGGGCTACCGGTGGTAAGCGGCGCAAGCGCATCACACCCCTGGCGTCGGTCGCCATCCCACTCGCGCTCGTTGCCTCTGAGCCGTCAACCAAGGTCCTCCGAACCCAATGTGTCAAGGTGTGTGCGGACGCCAAGGATGCACAGGCGACATTCATCGACGCGCTCGACGAGCTTGTTCCGCTTGTGGAACCCAGCTCCTCCGCTGAGCTACTGCCGGCCACTGTCCACACCATCAAGCTGCTGAAGACGCTACTCGCGGTGCTTGATGACGGCCCGCCGGGCTTCAACACCTACGAGCTGTCATCGCTGGCGTCGGCGACGCTGGTTGTGGCCAAGACTGCTATTGTGGCAGCTCGCGGCGACGAACCGCATGCATCGGACGGCGAGGTCGTCGAGAGCGCCGTCCCCACCTCGTCTTTTACCGCGCTCAAGGCCCAGCTCTCGCGGCTGCGCACCTGCGCATGCGCGACGGTCGACAACTTTGGCATGCATGTGGCGAGTGCGCTGCAGCGGGCGGTGATCAATGCCGTCAACGCCGCAGGCACAAATCCGCTGGTCGAGACAGTATCGCTGAGCGTGTGCGGAGGGAAAAAGTCTGTGGTCCCCAACCCGCTGGAGATGGTTTTTCACGTCGCGCCGGCATCCGAGCCGTCGACATATCGCGACTATGCCGAGCTGTTTCTCATCCCGCTCGACACGCTGAACGGCGACGAGTACGTGCGACAAGAGGTCATGTTCGAGTTTGTCTCGTCCGAGGTGCAGTTTGTGACCGACCTCGAGCTGCTGATCAACGTCTTTGCACACCCACTCCGCGAGTTGCCCGAGGTTCTGGAGAGCGAAATGACGGCCTCGATCTTTGCCAACGTCGACGACCTGCTCACATTGCACACGGCGCTCCTCGCCGATCTACAGGCGCGGCAGCTGAGCGCGCCGACGGTCGGCGCCATTGCAGACATCCTTGTCCCACATATCCGCGCCCTCGCTGCAGCCTACTCTGAGTACTGCGGCAACCACCCACGCTCGATCTCGAACCTTAAGCGGGCATGTCTCGGGCGGACCGGATCCAAACTGCGCAGGTTTCTGGACGAAGTGGGCGATTTGACACCGCTGCGGCGGCTCCCGCTGGAGGGCTACCTGGTCAAGCCCGTCCAGCGGCTTTGCAAGTATCCGCTTCTCCTCCGCGAGTTGATCAAGGCAACGCCACCGGAGGCGCCGGGTCTCGAGCTGCTGAGCAAGGCCCACGCCCTTCTCGACGCGCTTGTCCAGCGGGTCAACGACAACAAACGCGTCGCCGATGAGCAGCGCCGGCTAGAGCAGTTGCTCGACGCTATCGACGGCTCCGACTCGCTGCTTCTCTCGGCGGCGCCGTGCGTCATCCAGGACGGGCTCCTGGTCAAGCGAACCGGCTCAAAGACCGAGGAGCGACTCATGGTGGTCCTCGACTCGACGCTGCTCTGGGCCAAAAAGTCGCTCGTCGGCCGCAAGACGTATTCCATGCGCAAGCACTTTCCGCTCTCGGCCGTTCTTGTCGAGGATATGAAGGACACTCCCACGCTTGCCAACGTCTTCCGCCTCCGGACCGCCGAGAAAGAGTACGTGTGGGAGGCGCCATCCCACAAGGTCAAGATCGAGTGGATCCTCAACATCTCCGAGGCCCGCAACAAGTTCCTTGCCCGCCACAATATGCTCCCTCTCTCGGCGCCGCCGTCATCGTCGGGCCCGTCGTAGCTACGCGCGCCGATGACGCCGCCGCTTGGCCCATCCGTCGCGCAGGAGCGAAGCGGTGTGAAGCCCGCCGAATGGGCTCTCCGGCGCGACGAGCTCGACTGCAAACGCGCTGCTGAGCTCATCGCTCGCGCACCACTTGTCCAGCCGCTTTCGGAGGCGGTAGCGGCGGTTGGCAAGGTAGGTGTCGAGCGCCGCAAGAGTCATCCCGGTCTCGGCCATCAGCGCCTCCTTTTGCCCTGCTGTTGGGTATGGGTTGTCTGGATGGTGGAAGAGCCAGCGGGTGACGGCGGCGGCGGCCGACCATGGGATCTTCAGCGGGCGCGCAAACGAGATCTTGGTCTGGACTGCCTTCTCTATACGATCCAACAGGACGCCGACCGCGCCGGCAACCATCCGCGCCGCGCGGTCGAGCGCCGCCCGCCCCGTCCTGTCACTCACAGAGTCCCACAGCTCGCGCAACTGATTCACCCTCTGCGCATACTGGACTTCAAGGTGCTTGACTTGGACAAGAAACTCATCGTTGAGAACTCCATCGTAGATGCTGCCTTCTCCGTACACGATCTCGCCCAGGTCGAGCACAACCAGCTGCTTCGGTGCTGGCTCCAAGGTCGAAGCCATGTCAAGCTGCCCGCGCCGAGAGCCAAGTGCCACCGCCACTAGCAAGCGAGGCACACGTCGTCCAGCAATTTCCTTTTAAAGGCCAAAGTCTCCACCACTTTCCATCCATGCTCACACGTACCATGTTTGCGATCGCTACGATCGTCAGAGGCTGCCGAGTCGCCGCCGGCATCACGTCCGGGTTGCGGCTGACCGAGTCGGCCGGCGAGCGACCGCCCGACTCGGCCATCCGACACTTTGGGCACTCGGGCAAGGAGAGGAGGGAACGGGGGCACACCCGTCGCGGAGTGAACCCAGGCAGAGTCAGTCAGGGCTAAACGAGGTTAGAGGTAGACAATGCTGCGGAGTGCAAGCAGTGTCGTGGGCGCGGTGCGCGCAAGCGGAGCGGCGGCTTGGGCGGGGCCAGCGGCGGCAGCGGCGGTGACGGCGTGTGTGGGGCGGCGGGCGGCGTCGGGCGACGCGGCAGGCGGCAGCGGGATGAGCCTGGACGAGGCGGCCGAGGCAGCACGGGTGGTCAACGCTCGGAAGCACACGCTGGAGCGGATGCACTATCGGGCAGCCATGCACAAGCTGCACCAGGATGCGGTCTCGGCCCTGGGGGCCTGGCGCGAGTCGGCGGCCAAGGCCGCAGCCGAGCGCTCGCGCCGCATCGCCGCAAAGTCGGCGGAGCGGTCGGCCATCTTTGCCCAGCTGCGCGAGGCGCGGCGGGCGGCCAAGCAAGCTGAGGAGACCGAGCGGCTGGAGGTCCAGGAACGCCTGAACGTGGAGAAGGAGCGCAAGTACGCCGCACGCTCCGAGGCGCGCATCGCCGCCCTCGAGGCTATGCTTCAGCGGCTGGATGCCTCGTCGCGCGCCTGGGCCCAGCCCGACGAGCTGGAGAACTTTATCGATGCCAAGCTGCAGTACCTGACCGCCCACGACGGCCTCTTTCCTTTTGAGCTGGAGGAGGTCAAGGCCCGTCGCGCCGAGCGCGCGCCGTTCACTCAAGGCCAGCGCCCGCCGCAGCGGCGCGGCCAGCGCGGTGCCGGCGCACGCGGTGCCAACACACGCGGTGCCAATGCACGCGGTGCCAACGCTCGTGGCCCTGGCGCACGTGGTCCCGGCGCACGTGGCCCTGGCGCACGCGGCCCCGGTGCCCGTGGCCCTGGTGCCCGTGGCCCTGGGGCACGCGGCCGGCCGCAGCACCAGGCACGCGGCGGCGATGGCGCCCGGCGCCCGCGCGGCCAGCACCAGCAGCGGACAGGTGGACGTGGGGGCACCGGAGGCCAGGGCGGTGCTAGCCGCACGACTGCCGGCCGCAACGAGTAAAAACCAGTGTGAGCGCGTTGATGCGATGCAGCAGAGTGCGCTGCGAGCGGGCGCGGCAGTTTGGCCGGCTTCGGGCGACCTCTGCTCGGCAGGCAGACCTGTCTCCGGCAACCTGCGGGCGGACGGAGGCACAGCAGAGAGAGACCGAGCAGACAGTCATGGCCTTTGAGCTGAGCGAGTCTGACCCAGACCATGGTGCTACCCTACCGTATGCAGCTGGTGGTGGTGGTGGTGGTGGTGCCGGTGGCCAGCCCTTTGCCCTCTCCGAGTCGGACGACGGCGCCGCCGCAGGCGACGGTGGCCCCTTTGCCCTCTCCGACGACGAGCCTGGCCATGGCGGTGCTGCTGTGGGTGGCGGTGCCCAGTTTGAGCTGTCGGATGATACGCCTGGCCATGGCGGCGCTGCTGTGGGTGGCGGTGCCCAGTTCGAACTGTCGGATGATACGCCTGGCCATGGCGGCGCTGCTGTGGGTGGTGCCCAGTTCGAACTGTCGGACGACGGTCCGATGCAGGCGGCGCCTGCTCCAGCTGGCAGCGGTGCCCAGTTTGAGCTGTCGGACGACGGTCCGATGCAGGCGGCGCCTGCTCCAGCTGGCAGCGGTGCCCAGTTTGAGCTGTCGGACGACGGTCCGATGCAGGCGGCGCCTGCTCCAGCTGACGGTGGTGCCCAGTTTGAACTGTCAGACAATGGGCAGGCCGCCATCAAGGCCACAGAAAAGAGTCAAGCTGCAACCGCCCTACAGACTGGCCTTTCAGACAACCGCCCCACACCCGCACAAGCCGCCCCGCAGACCAACACACTTGCGCCGGCAAACAAGGCCAAGTCACCTGCGGCAACCGCCACCTCGACCAGAGACAACGAGGCTGTGCGCCGCAAGGCGGCCATGCGCAAGCGCCGCGAAGACGTCCGTCGGCTCAAGCTCCTCGAGTCAACGGTCGGCACTACGCTCCGCGCGCGCAAGGTATTTGCCCAGAAGCAAATGGCTGCTGCCATCAACTCGCGCGAGCAGCAGTGGCTCGCTCGCAAGAAGGTTCTCGTTCAGATGGAGGAACAGGCCCGCCTTGAGGCCATCCGTGCTGAGCGCGAGCGCCAAAAGTCCGCTCGCCAGCAGCAGCGGACCGCTGCCGCGGAAAAGCGGCTCGACAACAAGGTCATCAACATGCAAAAGAAGCAGCAAGAGACCCAGTTTTCGGCTGCACGCGCAGAAGCCTCCGCCCAGCGCGTCCAAAAGTCGCGCCAGCTCCAGTCACAGTACGCCATCACTAAGGACCGCATCGCCAAGCAGAACGCCGAGCGCAAGCGCAAGCGCCTCCGCGCCACACGCAAGGCTGCCCGCGCGCACAGGCTCTCCATGGAAAGAGCCCGTGCCGACGCCGAGGCCGAACGCCAGGCCCGCGTCGCCCGCGTCGCCACCCTCCGCGCCGAGAAAAAAGCCAAGGCCGATGCCGCCCGGGCAGAACTCGAAGCCATGCTCAGCCCAGCCCGCGCTGACTCGCTGCCGCGCCCGGCCTCTGCCGCAGACATGCCCCCGCCGACAGACGCTTCGGCCTCGGACGTCTCAGGGCTCACCGGCGAGATGGAGCCACTGCAGGCTCTCGCCGTTTCAGAGCACGTCGTTGCCCAGCGCCGCATCGCCTCCATCCGCGCTCGCCTCGACCACGCGCTCCGCGAGCCCGACGCCGTCACCAAAGAGCGTTACCTACGGACCTCGATCTTCAAGTCCAAGAGTGATCGCCGCCACTCGACCGAGACCTCGTCTACCTACCTCGACGCGACGGCGGCCTCGGGCTCGCTCGCTCGCTCGCATGCGTCGACAGCCGCGCCGCCGATGCATTCGTCGCCATCGCTTGCGTCGGTCACCTCGTTCCGCACTCCGCAGAGCCCGCGGGCCACTCCACCGCGCCGTACACGCCCCGCCACGGCGTTGCACTTGTCGAGACGCTTCCTGTTGCCTCGGCCGAGGCCTACGGCACGCCTACGCGCCTCGCACAGCGCTCGTGACGCTGCATCGCGAAAAGCAATTGTGTTTTTACGGCTTGGGTGGATGCATCGATCCCACAGGCACGCCTGCCCGCGACGGCCGGACAGGCCGCGGCGGCGGCACCGGCTCACTGCTCGCCAGCACCGGGTTGACCGGTGGCACCGCGATCGACGGCGACGACTCGCCGTAGCTCTGATGCATGCTGCTCGGAGTCGAACCGTACTGTATCGTGGCCATGTTCGAGTCGTAAGGTGTGACCGGCGGGATGGACGTCGCCGAATCGTTGAATGACACCATTTGCATCTGCGGCGACGAGCCGATGTCCGTCAACTCTACTGACGAGACAGACGCGATAGGACCCTTGCCGTTCGCGCCCTCGCCGGCAAATGTTCCCGACTCTCCCTCGTCTACCATCTCAGACTCGACGAGGGCGTCGTCCATGGCTTCGTCGAGCTCGCGCTTTTCCCTCCGCTGGACAGCGAGGTCGTACACGAACGCGGCAAGAAGTACCGCCAGGTTGATAAAGATGATCGCGGCGATGATGCCACCTGCGCTCGACGACGGCGAGTCCGGATGGTGAAAGACGACGCCAAAGCCAAGAACAAGGATGGCGCTCGCGATCGAGAACGTTTCGAGCAGGTTGTGGATCAACGTGATGTACGGGTAGCTCGAGTGGTGGTCAGCGAGCGCAAACATGAGAACGCACGCGGCAACAAAACCCTGCATCGACGGGAACGACGTGACAAAGAGCATGGCAATCACAACGCCAAACTTGCGCGCCATGATCTTCACCTCCCACCAGTAGTACTGGTCGAGGTATCGCGCCGTGAGGAAGCCGTACCGGACCAGATACTTGCCCCGCTCCATCTTGCGCCGCTTGTACCGCAGGAGGTACCCAATCGCCGCTGGAATGCCGATAGCGTATGCGAGCGAAAAGACAAGAGCAAACGGGAAGTAGTGCCAATACCGGCCCGAGCACGCGTACGATGGATCTGAGTCGAGGGCAAGCACGCCGTCGGCTCCACGGGTGCAGTCCATGTAGCCAAGTGAAATGAGCGCCAGCGGGAGGTACGCCAGTGAAAGCAGCTGCCACCAGCACCGGATGAACACGTGTCGCGCGTTGCGCTTGTTGATCGGGTCAAAGAAGACCTGCGCCATCCCGTACCGCAACCCGGCGAGCACAGGCCACTCCTCGGGCGAGCCCGCAGGTGGCGTGCAGAACCCGGGGAACTGCGCCACAAACGCATCGCCGAATCGAGTAGCAAACCACCGCTGTGGGAGGACAAAGCAGGCGTAGACAAAAGCGTAGACTGCTACAAAGTAGAGCGGGAGCAGCATCGTGAGCAGATACTTGAGGAGATACGGCGACTTTGCTTCGAACGCGCACTCGGGTGCTGCAAGCTCGAGATTAAAGTTGGCAAACGACATGGCGGCAAAGAGCGAGTCGGCGAGCGACGGCCAGTCGATTTCAAACTGGCCAAAGAGCGCCGAAATCTGCAGCGAGTTGAACGCAATCGAGAGCGTGGTGTATTTGACCACGTTGGTCGAGCGCGCGTTGAATACCGCAAGCCCGCCAAGGACAACAATCGAGATCAAGAGCACAAGCACAAAGAGCATGGTCAGCCCGCCCTCGCACTGGTGGCACTTGTTGCGGATCCGGTACCAGCCGCTGTGGCAGTCGGCACACAACCGCCCACGGTGGCCGGCCGCGCACTGCACGCCGCGCCCGCCGGGGCAGAGGCTCCGATCAGCCTTGCACTCGAGAAACAGCTCGGCGCTGGCCGGAAAGTAGCCGGGCGCAGCGTACGGCGCCTCGGTCCCCCCGTCACACACTGCGCCAACAGGGCAACGGGCGCATGGCAGTCCCACACCGACAAGATTGTAGAAACCGACCTTGCATGTGCAGTTTGCAATCAATGCCACCCGCGCAAAGCTAGTTCCCGAGCCGACCGGGCACGGTACGCACGCGGCCTGGTCGTCGTTCGCCGACCGGTAGACGTCGAGCAAGCACGGCTCGCACGGACCAAACTCGGTCTTGGCAAACTCGCCCGGCGGGCAGTTGGCGTAGACCTGGGCGGTGAACGGCGAGTTGGCCAGCGGGATGTTCGCGTGGCCGACCCGGACGACGATGGTGACGGCCCCGCCCTCACCGGCGGAAAACGATGCGGCGTACGTTCCGTCGCTGTTGTCGACCGCCAGCAGCGGCGTCGAGCCCGAGCCGACTTGCAGCGAGACCTCGACGACGTCGCCGCCGGTCGACTTGGCAACGCCAAACACGTCGACGGCGTGGATAGTGAACGAGATGGTGGTCATGCCGGGAGCAATAGCGTCAAGCCCGCTGACGTACGAGTTTTGCGGTGAGATCGGGCCACGCCCCGGCAAGAACACCTCGAGCGGAATCGAGTGCGCCCAGTAGCAAGGCATCGGCTCGAGACACTTGGCGCGAATCGAGAGAGCGGCGGTCGGCTGCGATGAGACAGCAAGGCCGAGGTTGGTAAAAGTGGCGACGCCATTTGCCAACGTCGCTTGCGGCGGCCCGCCAGAAAAGCTCACCAAAGCCGCCGAGTCGACCACGGTGAGCTCGATCACGGTCTCGCTCTCGGTTGCCAGCAATGCGCCGTCGCGCGTGTTGGTGAGGTTGAGAACAAGGTCAAAACTGCCAGCCGTCGAGAGAAGGGCTGGCGGCTGGTTGGAGAAGACCAGCGTGCGCGCGGCTACCATGACTGCCGCACGCTGAAGCCTAAACGCGTTTTCGTGAGCAAGCAGCTCGCGATTGCGGTCCGAGGTGACAAAGACCCGCCGCGAGGTGGCGGTGAGTCCGGTCGGCATCTGCGTACCCTTCTCAAACATAAACGCCACAGCCCGCTCGGACCGAATGGTCGAGCCCGACGACTCGGCCACAACAGCCACGACCTCGGGAGTGAGGCCAGCGTTCTCGGCGTGCGGGTTGACCCACTCGACGGCGACCGAGTCGTCGGTGACGAGTTGGACTGTGCCCGAGAGGCCTGCAGCAAGCGGGTGGTCCGGGTCCACGATGTGGACGTAGATGCTCGAGCCCGGAGCGTACGCGCCATACGAGGTGCCAGACGTTGGGCCAGCAATGCGAACGTGCGAGGCGACCAAGCCGCCCATAAAGACCATCGGTGCCGGCGCAAAGAGGAAAGACTCTTGCAGCGGAGGGACAAAGGTCGACTGGCCAAAGACAATGATATCCTTGTAGAGCCCGTCGTTCGAGTCGGTGCCGATGGCAAACTTGCGGAAGACCGGCATGGAGAGGTTGGCGATGACCTGCTCGGCAAAGAGCGCGCCTCGGGACGGGCCGTAGCCCTCGATGACCAGGTTGGTCGGTTCACGCCACCGCTCAAGGCCAAGCGCGTAAGCACCCGTGTTTGTGCCGTCGGAAAGGAGGTTGACCGAGAAGACCGAGCCTGATGGGTACTGCGTCTGCCCGTTGAAGATGGTGGTTACCGGCTCGACGTACGAGACGAGGTCGTCGGGCGGATCGATCTGCGCTCCGTCCAAGATGTTGATCGTGTCACCGGTGCCCAGATTGATCAGCTCCCAGAAGAACTTCCACTCGTCGACGGCGTCGAGGAGGAACTGCTGGGTGCAGTTGACGCTGGCCGGGTAGTTGGGCACCTCGACAAGGTACACAACTCGTGGCGCGCCCGTAAGATCATACATGTTGATGCCATTGATACAGGGCGATGCCGACACATGCTCCATAACCATCACTACCACCATGACTGCCACAACCACCGTGGCGAGAGCGTGGCCGCATCGGGCGCCGCCCATGATGTTCACCATGAGACAATGCAATGCACGTGGTGAACGTTCGCTGCTGTGGTGCCCCTTTTTTTTGCCAAGCGAGCGCGCGTGCAGAAAGAGCCTGTTCCGTCCACAAGCAGCAGGTGTACGGAGTGGAGAGGGAGGAGGGGAGCGTGCGTGGGGGGGGGGGGGGGGGGGAGGAGGAAAGGAGTGAGAGAGTGAGAGAGTGAGAGAGAAATAAAAGACGGTAGCTCGAGTCTGTGCCGGGCGGTCTTGGTGGGGAACGGTGGTCACGTGGCGGGGGAATGGTGTGGTTGGGTGGTGGAGCGAGGCATGGGCGCTGGTTGGTCGTTCGGCGACTTGGGGGAAAAGGTGAAGGGGGGGGGGGGGGGGT